CGTCTCCGTTCAATCCTATCTCATCTGCCGCTGGTTACCCGGGCACACGGATCCTAGCCAGCCACCTTCATTCATTCCCCCGTGAGAGGGGAGAGAGAAATCGAGACCCGGTCGAGTCGATTACCCGTGTCATTTTTATATCAATCGAGGCGGAATCACTGCTTCCGGTAAGCAACGGGACGACGGGTGTATATATGTATATATGAGATTATATTAGAGATTATATAATGCTTTTATTTATTGGGTTCAAGGCAAACGTTTTCGCGTTTTTTGCGGGATGATATTTCACGTAATAAAATTGTGAATTTCGCTTGCGATACTTTTTTTGCGAGGATACGATATATAATTAGCTAGTATATTATCTAACAATCTAAGTAAATGTAGATGTAATTACAACTCCTTAAATCTCAATCACGTGACATATTTTCGATTTAGCCGATTTACCACACATCTAGCAAAAAAATAACGTGACCTCGCAATATTATGGAACAAATTTGTAAAATTCTGAGTTTCTACAATTTCTTGAATTTCTGGAATTTCTAAAATTTTAAATACAGAATATAACCTGACAATAATACGTCACCATTGTCGACGAACGGAATGGTACAAGTGCAGAATTCCTAGCAGTAATCGCAGCAACGAGTCACGACTGTCATTAAAATCTGGGAAAGCAGCGAGTGAAGTATCCACTGAGGGCAGGTGAATGAGTAAATAAAACCGCTTTTACGGTTAGGAGATTAGTCGTCGGATTTTGGTGCAATCGCGACGATTACGCGCCTTATAATATTTTAGTACAGGCGATTAAAGGATTTGCTTCACGAGTGATTCGAGATTTCCCTCGCTCTTCTACTTGCACCTTGGATAACATGCGATTCCTTTCGATTACATATATTACAAGATTCAATTCTTCAATGAATGTACAGGTAACATTTGTTCGAAACACGGAACGTGAACCGAATAGATAATTCTGTACGTAAAAATTACCTATTTTTTATAGACGAAATCTTATCGTATCTGTAAGAAATATCACTGATGTCGACGAAAATGAACGATATTTCGTAAAACTTGCAAAAATAATTTGTAGATCGATTTTAAAAGAGAATTACTTCATCAAAGTTAACGAAGTTCCGCGTATCGTGATTGTTAACTGTTATTGAAATTGTATAATTTTGTTCATACATTTTACAGGTAACCCCCGAATAACACGATTTCGGTCTAGCACGGTTCAAGAATTGTGTAGAATAGTGGAGTTCTGTTAGTTTCTGAACTTAACTTTGGTTTTAGCATGTATGTTTGTATTAGGTGCACAAATTAAATCGTATCCTCCTTTTCGTAGATTCGTTGTTTATTTACAGAAAAAAAAAATACAGTCCACATAGTTTTGAATAAATTCCCTCCATTTTCTAGACATTTATGCCATTCCTCGGATAGTTGACGAATTCCTTGTCGAAAAAATTATGTTTAATTATGGAGGCCACGAATTAATTTGTACACCTAATAAATATATACATACTAGTAGTTCTTAGTTTCGTATAATACGAATGCACATAACACAGCAATCTTTAATAACCTAACCACCGTGTTATACGAGAGAACATGTAAAAATATAAAATTAAGGCAAAAGTTGCCGTAACTCATCTCATCATTGTTCTAATTCATATATTATGTATTTAAATAATCCATCCCATCCATCGATAAAAAATCCTTCTGTTCAACCCAATACATGTAATACTATCACCTAAATAATAAAAAATAAAAATAGCTCGATTAATTTCTTTTCGAATAGATCTGGTGTACATCAGAAACTTATGGGAACTGCCTGGTATCGCGACGAACGTGTTTAACCCGCCGAGAGCGAATTTCAGGTTATGAACACAAACGAAATCTTCGCCGTTTTGTGGAACCTTCCATGCAGTCTCATGATAACTTACACACAAGTTACGATTTCCCTTAAATCATCGTGGGCCAGAGGAACTTCCCTTCGTTAGAAAATAAAAGTTTCGAGCGAAAGTGTTGGAATGTAGGAAAGAGGTTCACGGATGATGAGTGGCGGTGGACGAGCAGAGAAGCCGGAGTGGAGGAATAGGTACCGAGAAATGCGAAGTAGGGTAATTTCGTTGAGGCCTCTAAGTGGTGAGATTAAGTGCTACGTAAATTCTTCCGTCGGCCTGCTTCCTCCCCCATTGGATAAAGAATCGCCGCTTGGTTAGACGCATCGCCCAGCGGAAGGAAAAGTGAAAGTCCTCCTTCGGTGGAAAATGGCAGGGCCACTTTTCTGTAATCTGCCGTTCTGCGGGTACAATTTTTCATCAAACAAGAATATATGCTCCTCCAGGCTGAATACTTCAGTGATGCATTGTACACCACTGCTCGTAACTATTGTACAATGAGTCCTAAGTCACTATAAGTATTCTTACCCCTCCAACGTTGACAACTTAGACGACTGACACCTATTTTGAACATTTTAAACTCCTTGTTGATTGGAATGCATACCGTGTCGATTAAGTTTTCGATTGACGGGAAGTTTATATTAGAAAACAACACATTACATGAGGGGAGGGGGGGAGTTCTGCAGTTTATTCACACGTCTATCATATGCCACCAGAAATGGAAACTTAATGAAACTTTGAAGATCGTACAGAAGATTTGCAAGTCACAGAGAAGGGAATTATTTGCGATGGATAAACTTTTTTATAACTCTAAATAATATTTAAACTTACTTTTACTGAATTTATACAAATATATTTACCTCTATAGCTATTTGAAATATTCCAGCTGTCATAAATTCCAATGTTATTCCTTTCAAAGTCTTACTAACCCTCATATCTTTACGAAATATTCAGTTATTTTTGTTTCAAAGTCACTTATGGAAAGATTTACATGTGTCTTGACCGAAGTGTCGGAAAATTGCTATTTTCCACACCAAGTTTATAGGTCCCATGGTCGAGTCAGGTATGTGTACAGACCCTTCAAGGAAGTCTTAGCCGGCAAAAACATTTCAATTCTGTCTGTGAGACAAACAAAGTGAGGCGTGCATATTTAGTTAGATACGCCTGATACCTGCAAAGGTCGACCACCTTCCGCAATACCCCATCCCTACTCTTTAGACTCTAAAAGGTATCGCGCAGCAGTCGAAAATTTGCAGTCTCTCGTGAACTGTCGAGGTGGTTGGGTGTGTTTCTCACACCCTTCCCCTTTCTTGTTACTAACCCCTTGTGTGTCAAAGATGTTCGGACAACCATTGCCTTCGATATTTATATTCTTCTTTACTGTGTGTTATTTACTGTGATTTATATACTGTGACTTATTTACTGTGCATATTGTTGATATATTTACTGTCTATTTACCTGTTTAATGTAATTTATTAATCTGTTCATTTAACTGAGTTTTACTAATTGTATTCTATGTGTATTGTATAATTAAATTCAATGTTCTAAAAAAATAATAAGGAACAATAAATAATGGTAAAATAATACATTCTCAAAATTTAAAAAGAAACGCACGAAAACTGCAAAATCAAGAAATTGCTAAAATTATGGTAGCCACCTGATGGCGGAAATTGGAGCTAATTCTAAGTTTCACAAAAAACGCGGGAAACGACCAAGACTGACACGTGTCACCCTCTAGTGGCGACTTCGGAAACTATATAAGAGGTTCTGGATTTAGATCCAATTTCCGCTACCAGGTGGCTACCATAATTTTTGGAAATTCCCGATTTTTCAGTTTTTCCGCGCTTTTTTAAATTCAAATGTAGCGTTAAATTGAACTTCAAATTTATTTTAACGCAATTTTAACTGAGTTTACCAATTACTATTTATTTATTTATTTATGGAAAATAGGAGATAATCGCAGTGATAGGCTTAATGAACAACGCATATGTACCACTTCCGTACGATGTTCAAAGCTTCATATGGAATAGTTTCATACATTTGTCGTCGAAATTTTCATTCTTGGGGACATAAGATAGATGTCGGACTCCTATGGAGGGGTGGCGAAGCAGGACCACCGTCTAGGTATAGAATAGACCTAGATACAATTCATAATATACAAACTTGCCATCATCCAATACTTTTTTCTGTCCCACGTTCATAGGGCTACTTAGCCCTGTTACCATTTTAGTGTCAATATTCGATGTTACCGATAAAGCATGAATTCTGAGTATTATTAGCACAAATGAAGTGTTATATATTCCATTCATATTACGAGTTCACAAATTCACCGTTCTCATAACGTAGAGGGCAGCAGAAGATCCCTGACTTTTTACACTATCGGTATTTCAGAACAGAGACACGAAGTCCCATAAGATGATAGGTCTATCCTATACCTAGTCGGTGGCAGGACACATCACGAGTCACGAGTCGTGATTCACGACATATTTGTGTGTGAAGAAAATGATAAATACGTGCTCTCATTCACACATTTCCCCCACCACTGCCATATGCCCGCATGCTGCACGTTGTTGACCGCTAGTGAGTTTGGCGGGCGCTGAGTTGCCCATCACTGGTTTATGATGTAATGCCTCCAGCCATCATTACGCCGCAGGAGAATCTCCCACTAACAGCCCCATTAGAAAGAAAGGAAAGTTACTCCAGTTATTGTCTTCTCTTTCCAGTGCCGACTTCATCCCTACCATAAGATCGTGCAGTCTATTACATATGTCTATGGTGAGCACTCTCATTTCCTCTCCCATGGTTTCAATTTTACAGATTTCCCGCGCTTTTTGAAATTGAGAAAGTTGGATAAATTTCAATAACAATTATTCGAGTGGTTTGAACAGGAACTAGCTTTTTAAACGCTCCTAGCTGGATCGACGGATTAAAAAAATTCGGGAAAAATAATTAAGAGTTACCTATTCAACCTGATTCAACCTACCCAATGACAAATGTCTAGACAAGGTTTAGATTTTACTTGGAGTATCTATTCTCTGCTTGCATAATCAATGGTTCTACAGTCAGGTGCGAAGAAAATTTGTGTAAGCAGATGGCAGATAGGTTGATACGTTCACAGTCATAGTAATCGTCATGGCTCCGTTTGTGTGGAGCTTTAGAGGGAATATCAACCGGTTTTTAACTGATGTTCAAATATTACAATGCCTTATCGTATTAATCGGTCTGTTTAATTTGTCTGTGTGTCTCTACGAAGACCAAATCGGAAAATTCGACTGGTAAATTGTCTCGTATTCTTCCATGAATGTTGATTGTAATGCTCAACGTCTTAAATAATGCAGAAGCATGCTTCCGTGTTTGACAGTGTATCTGCTAATGCTGCTAATCGAATCGTTTTCAACGAAATACACATTATTTTATTTTTAGGAAACAAAATTATGTCGGTAAAATCAAGTTCGCCAGTTTCGACACTGTCTCGACCGCGAAGAAGATTATTGTGGCTACCGAGGAAAATGTTATTGCTGCTTTAAACCTTAAATCGGGTAAGCTATGAATATTGACATAAAAACGACTACGTGTAACGTAAAGAAATTAATCAATATTTATGAATGAAAATGCACAATCTGAAATTTAAAACGTAAAAACAGGCAATAGAAGTAAAGAGTATATAATACTTTCAGTTTTTATATTGTTTTATATTATAAATGAAAGAATTAAGAAACATTAATATTTAATGTTTATTACTGGAAATTAAAATTAAATTATAAATTTACCAGAAAGATATGTAAAGAAATGCACAGAAGAATAAAGATTAATAAAAAATACTGCAATGTTTAGGACAAATCTTATGGAGACGTGTATTAGAAAAAGGATATGCAGGCCATATTCGTGCACTGGGTGGAATCGCAGATGGAGATCTTGTTTCTGTAAGTGGAGGTGTACCAGCTATTGTTCGTGCATGGGATTTAGCCACTGGACATATCCTTCATGAATGGCCAATAGCTGAGCAAAATCCAGATAGGTTAATATTACTTTTTAAAATTACTTGCTATCAATCAAATGATTCTTTTTTACTTTAATTGCTATATAAAGTTATTTATCTTTAAGTCAATGGTCTGTGTACAAAAGTATTCATGAAAATTTATAAGAACAAGTAAATTAATTGTATAATGTGAATAAGAGGTGCAATATATCTAATAAGGGATAATTGTAATTATTGATTTACAGACGTTTCTCTCCATTTATATCTTTTTCTACAGTGGGATTATACAGTGCTAACAGGTTTCTTTACCTTTAATCAATGCACAATCAGTAATATATGTGTAGTTTACACAACAAGCAATTACAAATGTCTCACATTTATAAGTTATTATATTTAGTGTCATTTTTGTATTGTATTTCACATTCAAATTGAATTTCGATACAAAGATATTGTATAAAGTTTAATATAAGTTCGATATAAAGGTAATCCTAGAAAATGTTGTCAAAGCAAATGAGAATATTCTGATTCTAGAATACAAAATAAAATACAATTAAGGAGTCAATTAATGTTCACTTATATATAATTTATTCACATTTCACTTTAACCATTTCATAAAAGCACCTTGTTTCACAATAATGTTTCGTTTTTTTTATACAAAATTGTTGATAAACATTATTTTGCAGCCGAGATATTACATGTAATCTATTATAACATCTGTAATTTTCTATTGCTATACAGAATCAAAGATGTAAAATGGCACATAAAAGATGGTACACTACATCATATTTTACCAATCTATAACAGTGGTGTTGAAGTAACATCATACGATAGTAAAACAGGAGACAAACTTAAATCAAGAAGAGTCTCTGCACCATTTATTAGTCAAGAAACTGAGTAAGTAATTAAATTATAATATAACTGTTATATCCGATTGAATGATATTTAATTCAAAATCTGAGTATGCTATATTCATTTGTTTAGGTGTGTTCTGGCAGCTCCATATCTAGCATGTTTAAAAGGAGATAGTTCATTAGCGGTATTGTTTTTGGTACATTTATTCGAACCAAACGCTCAGCCTCAGTCAGTTACAATAAATACAATATTTGGTGCTGGTGCACAAGGTCCATATCATTTGGAATCAGTACTTGGCGCAGAACCTGTTGTATCAATTAGTGCAGATGCTAATCAGAGAAAACGAATTCTTGTTTTGGGAGAGGAGATACCAGTTCCTGTTCAAAGAGATATAGCTGGCGATGCTATGCTCTATATTGTTTTGGTCGACAATGAAAAAGTACTTCTCGAAGCAACATACAAAGCTGGAGTAAGTACTTAACTTTCATTTGTACCATAAAAGGTTCTTTAACACGTTCGCTGCCACCATATTGTTGCAAAAACGTTCGTCACAGACCACGTTAGGTTTCCATCATTCTATCCAGTAAAATATTCTTACCTTCTGGAAAAGGTATGACACATATAATAAGTGCCATAAAATATGCTAACTTCGAAATTGGAGCATCACGTATATGTGACGCTGGTAGCGGACATGTTAATATCATTTAATTACAATTTTTAACATATCGAATTATTTGATTCCAGACAACAGAAATTGTGGCCACAGAACTATTAACATCAACACCTATGCCAGCCTTATCAATGAGTGTATCGCACGCTGCATTATTATCGCCAACTATTATGTCTTCAGTCTGTCCGCGACAAGCAAAAGGCATAACGTGTCGTCACTTATTATCTTCGCAAGACCACAGTGTCGCACTGTTACAACATAATAAATTAATATGGGCTAGAGAGGAAGCACTTGCGAGTATTGTAGCTGTCGAAATTATAGAATTACCTATGTCTGATAGAGAGCAGGAAATTGAAACAGAATTTGATCAAAAAGAAAGTAAGTACTTTCATACATGTATTTCTTATGCGTTTAATACAGTTCGGCAAAAACCTTCGTGAAATAAAACAAATAACATTTCTATTTCAAATTACTAAACTGAAATATGTACATGTAGTACTCTATATATTAATACCGGCAATATTGAAAGTTACATAGATATTACAATTTATGAAAAAATTCATATTTAATATAAGTACTATAATTTAAAAGTTTTTCAGAACACGTTGAAATATTTTTATGTTTAAAAGGTATAAAACACTGAAATGTGTGTTTAAAATACTGAAATAACATTATTATCACAATTCTCTGTTTTACTGTTTTATTATTTAGACAATTATGGTTCAAAATTCAAAAGCTTGCTGTCGCAACTTAATTATAATAACGATAACAAAATCATATTCTATTATAATAATTTATTTCTTAACAAAGAAACGTTAGTTACATTACATTAATTATATTTCTTTTGTGAATGGCTGCTGCAGGTATTGATGTAGACAGTTCATGTAAGTAGTGAAGCAGCAAGGACTGGTTTGAAAATTACTTTATCTTCCCGCTATTTATTAGAGTTATTCGCATGTATTAATTTCTGTTAGAGACTCAGAAAAATATATCGCGAATACTCTTCTAATTACTAATTATGCTGTCCATTTTATTTGAAAAAATTGCCGAAGTATTACAATTAGTATCTGCATGAAAATTTTAAGAATTTAGTAATTTTATAAATATTTATACTTCTTCATAGGAAGTTGTAAATGACATGTTTGAAATTAATCGATTAACCCTCCAGTGCACAGTGTCCAGAGTGCTTGAAAAACAGTATCCTTATAGGACCCACAAAACAGAACCAACATGTGCACTGGAGTGTTAATATAATTAATAGTTATTAGTATGCATGAATAATTATATAAATATATCAACAAAACTATTGTTCCTACACGTGTACAAAGTTGTAATACAGTACTTTTTGTTAACATAGTTTATTACAATTTCAATTGTGTGCTGTTTACTACTATTTCAATTTTGTAACTGATTATTTCCTTGTTTTTTTAGCGACTGTAGTATAGAAGAAAGCAATTTGCAATATTTGATTATGCATATGATATATACTATAATTTTATACTTGTTTGTTGTAACTAGGGGATGTGTTGAGTATGATGATCAGGAGAGTCAGCTCACAATTTAAGCAAGCAAAGGCATTTGTGCAATCTGTATTAAGTATTATACCACAACCATCGAATCAGCGTACTGATTTAGTACGAGATAAATTTGGATTACATAAAATGATCGTTCTTGTTACATCTGCAGGAAAAGTATGCATTTCATTTTCTAAATACTTATTAGTTAATTGATACACACATGTATTTAATACATATTGACGTACATGATTTTATTTACAGTTATATGGTATCGAAACTCGAAAAGGCGAAATTATCTGGCAACTCAGAGTACCAAGCATTCGAGGTTTTGTAAAAAGATCTGATTCAATAATCTTGTATGTGCAGCGTGGCAGCAGACATTTTCCTTATCCACCGCAATGTGCGCTATTAGCAGAAGATAAAGTATGTTTTCAAGTCAATAAAATAAAAAGATAATTTATTATTTCAGATTTCAAATTTTATACGCTACGTTAAATGTTTTAGAAAACAGGAGAAGGAGTTATGTATACATTTAATCCAATTACTGGTCAACCATTAGATGGTTTAATAAAAGTAGGGTATAAAATAAAGCAATCCATATTGCTTCATGTTACAACTGATGATTTCTTACGAAGTATTCTTATTCTTGATAATCGGGATAAAGCACATGTATACCCCGAAAGTGCAACTGCAATGGCTGCATCGCTTGGTAAAAACATGTACATATTTACTGCTGATCAAGCAACAGGCGTATTATCTGGATTCTCTCTTTCATATAGCACGACTCAGGTACACATAATAGAGAACATGTAATTTATTTAATCGTTCAGAAATGTTATTGTACTTGCGATTTTATTTTTTTGCAGGAACTGATCGCTCATAAAGTATGGGAGTTAACACTTTCCCCAAGAAACCAAAGAATTACACACGTTGTATCAAAAAATCCAATAGAACATGTTCATTCCCAGGGTAGAGTTTTAAGCGATAGATCTGTACTATATAAATATATTAATCCTAATTTGGTTGCTATAGTAACTGAGGGTGTTGGATATACTCATAAAAGTAAGTATACTCAAAATAGGGTAGCACTTTAAATTCCTAACCTAAGTAGATTAAAAAACAGACAGAAGTACATATCCAATTTATTTATGTTATATTTACAATTAACATATACAGTTACGTAAAAATTTCGTCTGTGACTACTGAGACCCTATTACATCTACTTTTAGATTATTACTGTCATGCAATGCATAAATATGTTGGGTCGAGAATATCTAGCGCTACCGTATAACAAAAAAATGTATAATTAAGGTTATTAAATTTTAATACTATGCCTCGCCATTGGTTTGTATTTCACAGATACGCTTAATCTGTATCTACTGGACACAGTATCTGGAGCAATGATATTTTCTATTATACACAAGAGAGTGCGTGGTCCAGTCCACATTGTGCATTCTGAAAATTGGATAGTATACAGTTACTTTAATGAAAAGAGTCGTAGGACCGAAATCGCTAGTCTAGAACTGTATGAAGGAAAAGTACAGAGTAATACCACAGGTACCTGTAAAGTTTCTGTGAATCTTTAGCAGATTCATTTTTGTTGATTATTATTATTTACGTTTTTCTATATTGTTTCAGTGTTTTCATCTTTAGCGACAACTAAATTGCCACTTGTGGAAAGGCAAGCCTTTATTTTTCCTGCAGCAATAGAATCAATGCGGGAGACTATCACGGAGAAGGGTATTACAAGCAAGCATATTATTGGTAAAGGAACTGTTTCGACGTTATATGTGTAAATATATTTAGTATATCGAACACAACGTGAGTACTTACATGTTACTTTTCGTAGTGGCCCTAGCGAATGGTGGTGTATTGGAGTTACCGTGGATGATGATAGATCCACGCCGGCCTATTAATCCGGAAATACGTGAAGAAGGTGTAATTCCATACATGCCAGAGATACCTATTCAAATGGACGCAATAATTAATTATAATCAAAGCGTCTTTAGGGTGTCAGGTGTTCATACTAGTCCTAGTGGCCTTGAAAGTACTTGCTTAGTTTTTGTACATGGTCTTGGTAAGTATGAATATGTGGATGTTTCATCATTCTAATGACTTAAATATATTATTGCAACGAGTGACATACGTAATATATAAGTAATTATATATGTATATATATATATAATATAACGATTACAGACTTGTTCTACACGCGTGTGGCACCATCTAAAACATTTGATGTTCTGAAGGAAGATTTCGATTATTACCTAATTATGATAGTATTAGCAGGGCTCCTAATTTCATCTTATGTCACGAAAAAATTAGCTTCGCAGAAAGCTCAGAAGCAAGCGTGGAAATGATGTTTCACTTCTCTAGAGACTCAGTGCATAACATTCTTAAGTATCTGTTCACTAAAGGTGAAACATTTTGCTATTAATAATTTGTAAAGAAAAGGTACTGTTTTATAAAAAGACAATGTTACTGCAAACGTAAATGTTAACAATTTATTATATCACCTAAAGTATCTAAACATGCATACATATTGTTTGTTCCTTTATTGGTACAGAACGCACACTATAAAGATACTATAGAGATAACATATTTCTGAATCTTTAAGACAATGTGTGCTAGTCATTGTACGACAAGAGTGGACCATGATCGCTAATTATTAGATCATTAAAATAACTGACAACGTGCTCAAACTATGATTAATTTTTCGTTCAAATTACAGTATTTTTGGAAATCTCTAAGAAATTCCGTATTTCTGAAAGTATTCATTGATGCTAGTAAAAGAGATATATAGAAAAGTGATATACGTATGTAATATGTAGGACGCAAACGAGGAACACATAGGACGATTCTCTGACGACGAATGACGTCTTGTTGTCATAACCACTAACACAACGTAAACATCTTTTTATACTTTGTTATATTTTCATACAGCTCTTAACAGTGGATTAGTAAGGTTTTTCTGGTAATAGAATAAAATCAAATACACCACTCCTTGAACGTATCTTAAAGTACAATTATAATATGTTATCGTAAAAGTAACTTAATACTATGTAATTGTTGTGTTTGATCTTATTCTAATCACAAAAACATCAGTAACCATTAATAATAGCTGTATGAAAAAATAATGACAAGTAAATTCATTTTTTCGATTTTCCAAAAGCTTTCTGGAACAGGGGGATTTAAAATTCGAGATTTTCAAAAGATTACTGTATACAAATAGTTAGACATTTCTTTGATATGTAACACTCCGCTAAAAAAATGTCGAACTATCAAATACCAAAGTAAAATGAAGTACGAATATCTAAAATATTAATATTTTTTACTTTGTTTTGAAAGTATGGAGAAACTGAAATGTGCATTAGGTATCATTTTTAACGTCTTAAAAATGGCACTCATTTGGCAGCTTAATATCAGCAAATACAAATTATATGTAGGTTCTGTTGTACAATATCAATTAAAAACATTGAATGTTTAAAAGCAACAACCTAACAAATTACCTTAATGGTTACGTTTTATGTTTTCTGTCCTCTTAAAAAAACCTTGAGATATTGTCACACAAGTATGCAACAAGAAGAATACTTACAGATACACTATTACATTCTTTTTAAACCAAATTCAAATAGAAAAACGTAAAGTTAAAATGTACATAATATTGCGTGCAAATTTCATATTACTACATATAATTACATTAATGTATTACCACTTATACTTGCATTTGATTTATAAAACTACTGACATATGATACAAAAAAAACTCTAAGGAATTTCCATCAAGAAAATCGATTTTAACACCTGTACATTGCACGTTGCAGCAAATTATGAATTCTCTGCATTTATAAGCATTTCCCTCTTGGTTCTTTAAAGTGTAATTTACACGATTTTTACATCCTTCATTTAGTAAAGTAATGAGAACAGAACGCTGGTATTTTAAATTTCCTATTTAAGTATTTATAAAACTGGAAGGAAGCACGAGAAATAAGTGTTAAAGCATTATTAATATTTACAATTCTATTGCAGTCACAAAGAGAGAATCAAATTATCATTATATATTGGTCTGTTAAAAACATATGATGGCCAACACGTGTCGCAGTACAAACGGATGATTTTATTTATTATATATTTATAATTACAGATTAAATGAATTATACCATCTGTGAATAGGACAAATTTCTGTTATACATATAGGATAGTTATTTGCTTTGTAGATAAATGTAAAGTTTCTAATAGACATAAGTTACTGTAAAAAATAAGAATGTAAACAGTAATATTATGAAAATGTAAAATGTGGACTACCATCATAAAATACAAATTGTATACCAATAAAAATTTTAACGACTACCAGAGTTATTTTATTTTTATTATTTTTCTAGTTTCAAGATTTCAGTCGTAATTATGAATAAAGAACAGGCATTTTTATATACACATATACAATATAAATATCATTTTTTAATTACAAAAGAAATTTTTATATTTTATACAATATATTTACAATATCGCTAACAGAATGTTGCAATAATCTGTTCAACTTTGATCTCTTTTCTTTATTTCATTAGCTTTCCAAGTATAAATCATTATCTTGTATATATTTTAGAATAATTTGAATATTTTTATAATACTCGTCTGTTGAAATATTTTTCGTTATCTGAAAAAATAAAGAATATTTAATCGTCTAAAATATAAATAGTAGTATAATACCATTTGTTAATTTATAAAATGCATAAAAATTACCGATAAATCTTTCATATCGAAAGTTGCATCCGCAGCAATTTTTGATATTTTAGTGTTAAAAATACTGAGACACTCCACCCATACAATATCTGAATTATAATCAGCAATTTCCTTATATAATTGTATGCAGCACGACTATAAATAACGAAAAGATATGTGTAAATTAGGAAATGGAATTTAGAAGATATACGTTTTCTAATATTATGTACCTGTAATGTAGGATGTTGGTGTTTACTGAGGTAAGGCTCTGCAATACTTAGAATATTCCATGTCTCCCTTTCAAGAAGATTTAAATTTTTCACCGTTTCACCGAATGTTGAAAGTAATTCTTTTTGTAATTTATAAGTTTGCGTAAATTTATAAACATTTTCAGAACTCTTATTATAACTTTCTTTTGCAGAAGTATTTAAAAACTTTGAAAGTGCTGGTAACACTTGCCTGTAAATAATGGTTTTCACTTACAATATTATTAACTACATCACATATTCGTTGCCAATACAAAGTTATAATTTACATTGCTAAAGAAAAACGCAGAAAACTTACTTGAGAGTTCTCGATCTGATAAAATCTTTCGAGACGCGACCGAGAAGATTTAATAGTTGCCACGCTCGATTAATTATTAACACATTTGCATCGTGAAATCGGTCTACTAGCGGGTGCCAAAGCAAATGTACAATAGGTAATAATTGATTTTCCCATTCTGCTAAAATTTCGAGACCTTCTTGTAATGTAGACATTGCGAGTAATGATTTTTCTATTTCCTTAGACGGTAGAAAGTGTACACAGTGTTTCATAATATCTTCGATCATTTTTATATAAGATGGTATATTGCGTTTTTCTTCTATAATTGATATTGTCCTTCAATTCAAATTTACATGTTTATTATATTTTAAGAAAATCTTTTATATTTACCTTCTGGCTCTGCGAAATTTACTTGTTCTGCATTTTCATCTTCTATATCTTCCAGTCTCACTTCTTCTTCTAAGTTAATGTCACTAGTCGGTTCCTCTATTTCTTTGTCAATCTTTTTTGCCTCATAATACTCCAATAAAGAATGAATAATTTTTGAAGATTTACTTTTAGCATTTACACATTGTTTCTGTGTTAGTGGCAGATGCTGAGGATGGAGCAATTTCTTTAGACACATTGAAAATGTGAAAAAAACTTTCAGAAAGGCATATGAGTTCTTCTTTTGAAAACTATTATTTAGTTGCAGTAGAGCATCTTCCACAATTTCCTTTAAACAAGGTAATACGTCCATTGTGCTATACTTCATAACAACTCCTATAACATCGAGTACACCAGGATTGCGTTCCACCCGACGCAATTTTACTGTTACATGGTATGAAAAGTAGTCAACATTTGCACGTAGGAGATCACCCACCGTACTGTGATGTTGAGACTCTGCAATAAGCTCAAGCGTTTGCGTTCCAACAAAACTGATTAAGCTGTGTCCACTACCTACAAACAAATTAATACAATATTTACTTAAGTAATTTCTCATCTATTCCTTCAGTGTAATGTAAGTAAAAGATTACCTGCTGCTTCTATAATTAGATACAATGTTTTAAGAAGAAATCTATCATAATCTTCTTTCAAATTTTTTGCAATTAATCCCAATCCTTCTAATAATAAACAACACTGCACAACATTGCTTTGAGCAATACCTAAAGATATATCATTGGTACTGTCGATAGGTGGATACCAATGTTCTGTATTTATATAAAACTCGATAACATCTTTATAAATTGACAAATACGAGGAATCTTTAAGTGGAACTAAAATATATAATCAACTGTTAATAACATTATTATTTCATATACATATTGTTTTCAGAAAATTGTTCTGTGTACCATTTAGTATCCAGTTTAGTAATAGAAATAATTCTTTTTTATGTTGTGGAACTTCGAGTATGAGATCAAGTATGGTGTCCACGAAAATTCGGAGGTCTCCAAATTCCGCAAGGTATTTACATATTACTATAACTTTGTCTTCACAAGACCTATTCTGAATAAACTTAAATCGTCTCCATAAGTGTGTCCCATACGAATAAGCTGGATCTTCAAGATCCTTAACGTTTACAGCTTGCAGAAGAGAAATATTACTATGATCTATTTCAGACACATACACAAGAGCTAATAACAACCTTCGAATATGTGGCGCAGACATCATAACACGAGGTAATCTCTGTTCTCCAAGAAGTTTTATATAACCAGCAATTTGATTTAAACAGGATAATTGGTCACTATCATCTGAAAAATGAACGATATTTAATTTCTTTTTCAATTAAGCTAACATTTTTATCTTTCTTCAAATATTCAAATATATTCATTAACATAAGCATATCAGTGTACTACTTTTTAATGTATAAATGAACATATACGAATATAAAAATCGTACCAGACCTCCTAATAATTCTAGGTAATTTCGTAAGTAAATTATAAAAGTTTTCTTCTAATAATTCCACCAAAGGCCTCATATTCCTGTTTTGCATGTAGTTTATGTTAATTACATTTAAAGTTTTTTCTGCATCGTCCCGAACTTCTGTAAATGCATCTTCAGATAGAGTTATTAGATATTCTATTAATAACATAACATTTGGTTTCATGTTCCTGTTTAAAAAATGTATATAATTTTACTTTAAACATTTTTTATGAAATGAATAGGAAACAACAATATTACCTAGGGCATGTTGTGAGCAGTAACTGAATAGTTTCAACCAATTCCTTCCTAACTTTATAATGGGAATGTCTCATTAATACATCCAACTGTTGCACGAGTATATTAAGCTTTGTTGCACTAGCATTGAACCATTCTTTGGTTCTTGTTGCACTTTTAAGATGTTTTTCTAGTTCATTACGATCTGTTATGTGCGGTGAACTAACTGAGAGATTGATATTAGGGGCAGTATTTACTTTAGTAAGAACATCTAATAATGGCGTATCATTTTCTTCGAATTTATCTTTCATCACAAGAGATATTACTCTACCCCAGGCTCTTAATGCTACCTAAAAGTTTTTATATTATACATAAATTTAGATCAGTTACTCAATATTTAATATCTCAAAATAACATTACATTACCATTGTAAGTTTATGTCCTTGTATCTCACTTCCCATAGCTATCTCTTGTAATCCACTAACAATACCAGGTAGAAATAACATAATAACATCTGCTATCTGATCTTGCAGTATAATGTCAGACCTATCTCTTTTATCATCAACTTGACATAGAGCCATTACTGTTTCTACGGCTTTCAATCTGAAAATTTAGAAAGTATAAACGTACATATGAGAATTAGTTAAGACAGATGATATTAAGATGTCTTTTATATGTTTACCTAAGTGAGCGTGACTTTTCAGTTCTTCCAATTGTTATAGATAATAATATTCCTTGACCTATCTTTGAGGCATTTTCTCTTACATATAACGATTCTGTAACTTCTGTGAAACAAGAATGTATCAAAGTTTTGATACAAGAAAGTACTGCTTCTTTCAGTTCTTCATGACCCGTGATCACTATATAAATCATACACATTAAATCATATTGTGTGATTTTTGAACTAATTCCAAATTAAATAAAAGTTATAGTTTGTTAAAATAAGCTTACGACTGCATAATATGACATACAATGAGTTTTAAATATCTTTATATTTACCCATATTTTGCTGTGTTTGGTCATAAATTTGTATTAAAAGGCATGCATACAATTTATTAAAATATTCCACTTTTGATATCTTTGCTCTTAATAGTATTGTTTCTGTTGTCTTTACTAATTCTTCTTTAACATCTTTCCTGTAAAATGAAAAATATTCAGTAAAATTTCAATTACTGTTTACTAACTGTTTCTGATGCATTATATTTAACTGCACGGTAGTCTTATTTAGTTTACAAGTTTTGTGTAATTACTTAATTAATCAGTAACATTCAATTCTACTTTATAACAATATTAAAGAAAAAAAGGTAGTACCTCAACGTTTCATTTGGCAAATGAGTAATTAATGGAAATAAGATATATTCCAATAAATCTTGAATAACTTTGTCTGAAATTCTGGACAAACCATTAGCAACATTACGTGCAGTATTTACATTCGGATTTTTCACTAAACAATCACAAAGTGGTTTTAAAACTGTAAACGCTTCCTGTATATGATGACGTTCCATTTTTATTTAGAAAAGAAAACGTAGAAATCAATGAAAATTCTTAACTGAGTTCGTCACTGTGTACCCATGGTTTTGCATAGTATCATATGGTATTCAAAAATATTGGTCATGTGCGCGATGTGCGCTGAAAACCAGCTGAAAACTACCTATATATGTACCATATGTATGTACATTATAAAGTAATTAGGGCCTTCTACTGCTTGATAAATTTATTTCAAATTTTGAAATAAATGTTAAACCGAATATTAATTTGGCATAATTTCAGTAAGACCGAGATCAAGTGGTAGGAGGTCTTTCCCTTTCATCACTTTTTTCCCTAGTGGTAGCTGAGTTTACTCAGAGAACATCCCAAGAGATACCAGGCCTTGTTCAAATATATTCAGATTAATCGCGAACCCATCGCTACATATGACAGATTGGGGATACTAGGGTTTTTATTCTGGTAACAATCTGATTCACCAAGGCAGCAATCTGTCAATCGCCAATTCTATGTATATAACTGATTCTAACTATTGTAACCAATAAAACGGAGCTTTTAAAATACCAGCTCCAATAAATTAAACAAATTGGAAAGTTTACAGTCATTGATTGGATAATATTTAGCACTAATGTCATTGGAAATTATATATTATTTTTTTATTCTCAGCCAATAGACTTTTGAACTGTCAGTTATTTTTTCACTGTCATTCATTCAAAGCATATCCAACCTGAAGTAAATGTTACATATTTCCATAAGACTCATACCCATGTTGATAAAGCGGTTTTAATCTTTTCATTATCATTGAACAACAACTGTTCGTTTTCGACATTCAATAACGAACAATATTGTTATGCACGTTACTACAATAACATTTTACAATGTGATTAATCCACAGCCGAATAACGAAGAGAAATGTACAAGTTAAACATTTTAATATCTTTTTACTGTTTTGCAAGTGTTGCCGTTTTTGCTGTACGTATTAAATCTGTTTTCTATAATTTTTAAATGTTTTCTCATCATTATGCATCTGTATTTGCTAAATATTGCAAAATGTTTTTATACAAACACTTGTTGATGTCAGTAATTTTATGATTACTTTAATAAACAACGCATAAAAACAAATTTTTATTAAAATATGTATTTATTGAAATATATATATTATATATATAGATTTATGTTTGTATGTTAAACCTACAATAATTATTACTTATTCTTTAAATAGGACACATCAGTAGTAGATTATTCCTCCTGCATAATTCATGAACCTGTTTTTAAATTTTTTAAATACAATTTTACAAGCCTTTCGGATCCAACAAAAGATATTATTTTACATCATGATTATCCAAATGAAACTTTAAGAATACATTTATGCACTCCATTAAAGAAAAAATGCAATGGGAAGGATGGATATGGAATTTGTTTGATACGAAACAAGCAAGAAATAGGAATAGGTTTATATTTTTCTTAAAGCATTGAAGATATCATTAGTTTCTCTTTGGTAAATTAAGGTTTTTTCTGCCATTTTAGGAAAGTTTCCTCCAAAAGTAGAACAAGAAAATGGAAAACTACTGTTTGTATTTACAGGAGATGATTGTACATCAGAAGCTAAATATATTACAAATATTTTTATGAAATGTGATTACAAAGCTGGACATAATTCGCTTCCTGTATTATTTCCTTACGTAAGTACACAAAATTATATGAGAAACATTAAAATGTCTAGAGACATTACATATCTTAATGTATAAAAACAATTCATGGTCTATTTCATTCAGTCATTCTAACATTTCAGACAATAAATCAATGTAATATATCCATGGTGTGGAGTAATGCTCTGGCTTGTGGTCCACCAACTGCACGAAATTGTACAGTAACAGATAATGGTTTACATTATGATTTATCTCCATTAACGAAGTATTCAGAAAATTATGTTATTCGTACGGGTCTGTCAAGAAATTCAACAAAAATAATATTAAATGTTTGTCACTCTGTGATATTTGAATACAATGCCTTATGTCAAATGCAATCAGGAGCCTGCTTACAGAAAAAATCTGGAGACTCAAAACTCCAGTATGAGTACATTTCATCAATCAATATGAATCTAGTACACATTCTTTACAATTATTATAGTATATTATTATTACAGATATGTAAATTTGGGTGATGTAGCAGAACCACCAGTTTTGAAAGATGGAAAATTAAAACTTGAATATCAGAATGGGGATATGTGTAAAGTGAGAAACGTTACAGTGCCACATATTAGAACTACAATTTCTTTTATATGCGATTTTGAAGCTATGGTAAGCACAAAATGATAAATTTGTGCTGCATTCAGCTTTTACATTTTTTATCAATATACATGTTATAATTCCAGGACACACTCCCAGAATATGTTAGAGGAAGCGAAGAATGCCATTATCAAATAATATGGAAAACAGTAGCAGCTTGCAGCGTAGAATCTTTGCGTAATCATAGCGCAGCAACTGCTGGCAGATGTACAGTGACCAATCCTCTTACAAATTTTACGTAAGATTAATTTAAAGGTTTCGTGAATAAATTTCTGTCTATCTTGTTGGAAAAAAGACTTGTAATAGATGGTATTACAGGTATAATTTACAATCCTTGATGAAGGAAGATTTCAATACCACAGCACAAAATGGCATACAATATAAGTTTGGAGTATGTAAATCACCAGCTGATACGACATGTGCATCAAAAACAGGTTGCTCAATGAATTTCTCATGTAATTTATAGTCAAATTGGTAATCAATAGTTCAGTATTTTCATATTTATATTTCTATATGTAGGAGTATGTTCTACCAACAATAGTATGTCTATGGGAAAATTTAACACAAATTTAATGTGGCAAGAAGGTGGACCATATTTAAATTATACAGATGGAGATCTTTGTAAAAATGGACAACACCACTATACAGTTATTGCGTTTGTGTGTGGAGCAGAAGGAGCTCCCACTGAACCATTTGTAATGGAGCAAAATCCCTGTCAGTTGATTATACATTGGAGCATGGACTTAGTTTGTGAAAAAAGGGTAATCTATCATTACAAATACTGTTCGTTATACGTGGATCATTTCAAAAGTTCTCTGAATGAAGTTTAGATGACATCAGTAGTTCCGAAATTTTAAGTTCATCGAAGATTTTCATTTGTTATATGAATAACTGTAATGTATTAAGTCAATATATTATATACATATTTTGTTACGGCTGCTAAAACAAAACGGTTTTTAAGTCTCAATGCGTTTTTTTACAACTGATCAGAAGGGAATTCGAACGCAAAGTTCTCAAAAATGTTTAAAATTTAGAACGTTGGTCTATAAAATTGGAATATCGTTGGTCCAAGTGCATTAATGTTAAAAAGTATTGTATGTATTGAGAAATCCAAGAATTTTGAAAACGATATAAGTTGTTTTTCCAATCCACTTCAAAAACTTTTCAAATGACCCACATATAATGTTTTGTGGTTTTTCCAAAATTAGAACACATTTATAATAAGAACGTTCACTTTACAGATAAAGTGTGCCACAATGGACGATGAAATAAGCTTAAGTTCCCTGATTAAATCTAATAGTAACCATATTGTGAAAGTCAACGAAACAGAATTTCATATAAATATATGCAGACCACTGGTGTCTGTGCGAAGTTTAACGTGTGCGCACGGCAGCGCAATCTGCAAAGCTACTTTAAATTCAAAAAATGAATATGTAAATGAAGTTGTAAGTAAAACGTTGTTGTATACACTTTCAGGACATTGAATTAAGTTAAATCATAACAAATATATATCCTTTGATATTCTGTATTGACAAAACATATATTTAAAGATACTTGCTTTCTTAAAAAAAAATTATAATATAAAATTTGATTTACATGTTGCCAGAGTTTAGGGTTTCCAAAAGAAAGTCCTATATTGGATACTAATCGTAATACAGTGTTACGCTATGTAGATGGATCACCCTGTCCTGAAGATCCTACTAAATTAATTTCTTCAAATATTACATTTCCGTGTAATTATAATGATAAGGTAATAATGTGAAAATTTTATTTTAAAAAGTGCACTAAAATATTAGTTAAGTAACTATGTCATTGATTTTTTAAGGGATCTCCAGAATTTAAAGAATACAAAGATTGTACTTACATTTTCGAATGGAAAACTAGTATAACATGCGGAGCTGTAATGGGAGACTGGACTTCCCCTTGCATTGTTAAAGATCAATTACTTTCACACGAATGTGATCTATCCTTGTTGCATAAAAATCAACAAATATACCATGTAAGTTTACTAATATTTATTACAATCTTATTGACTTTCTTTAAATGTACGAAGAGTGTTTATTGGAAATATAGATGCTGCAAATTAAAGTAAATGTAAATAACTGTAAAGCAGTACACACTAATGAAATTATATAATACTAGGAGTATGCAATAATAATGGCTGTTTTTCCATCGAAAATCTTTGTGAATATTAAACAACTTTTGTTACATCTGTTACTTGAAAAAGTTCCGCTCATTTTCTAAACCATTTTTCTGGTAAAAGTAGTATTTTCTGTCGAAAAAATAAAACTAGAATAGCACTTTAAATGTCATGATCATTATGTTTGCGTACACCTAATAACTTATTCTTCTAAAGAATAACACAATATTAAATGTGCTTAGCATTTTAAAAAAGTTATCGGACATGAAACTACAGGTGAAAAACAAACAAGGGAAATACTACAGTTTAAGTATATGTGGAGGTGGAAAATTCTGTAATGGTTCGGCTGTGTGCCAAGGCAGCAATGGTTATGGATCATTGGCCAATGTTATCTTTGAGTATGGCAGAAATGTTATAAAACTTAAATATTCCAATGGTGATAAATGTGTAAATAGTGAGTAACAGATTCGTTAGACAACTTCTATATTGTTGATAACAGAAGTTAATATATTATCTTTACTTTCATATCAGATTCTTATACATCTGAAGTGAGATTTATATGCAACGAGTCCATGGGGATTGGTGAACCAAACGTGTTATGGGTAAGTTTTTCAGTGAAATAAGTTATTTCAGTCTGTAATTTCGTTTTACATAAGCACGTAAAAAATTTACTTTATACTTGAAAGTGGTGCATAAGAAACGTGTAGTCTTGTTTATGTCATTGAAAATTTTCTCTTATAATTTTCTTAATTGTTATATTGATAAAACTAAAATCTATTGGTTTGTACACTTACAAATACAGGAAACATGCATACTTATAAACATTTTCACAATATGACTCGAGATTTGCATGAATTTTTATTTCTCAGGTACTTTTTTAAGTATTAATCTTATAACAAACTAAAATCAAAAACAAAACACACTATAGCTAGAAGTATTTAATACAAAATTAACAATTCATAATGAGATTCTTTATTTAGTTCTCCAGTCGATGTTACTGATTGGTATCATTATAATTCACTGTTAAAGTACACATGACTTACTATTGGGATAAGAACTATATAAAAAAGGTGCTCATAAAATTGAGCAATTAATTTACAAGCAATGTAGTAACAAAACACGTTTATGAATAGTGTCAATTTTTGCGTGATACTAATATGAATTGATTTAATTTATAATGATACTTTATTAATGCTTTTATATGTGTGTATACTCATTTAAACTTTATCCGCTTTTTGTGTAATAAAAATCAACAGAGCAAAATGTAATTATTTCATACAAGTAATAACTAACATTTTCATAAAATACATTTAGAATTAGATTATAAAAAATATATACAAAGGGAATAAACATTAGTGATTGAGTAAAATATAGAAATGTGTATACATACATAAAGTAACTATGCTAAATGAAACTAATATCTATTCAATGAACCCAAATCTATAATTGTTTAGACAATACTTCTCGTGTTTGTATGATGATTATGAAATCAAAGAATAATGGCAATATGTTCTAAATTTAAGTGCATATAAAATTATAAAAAATACTTATTTATCATTATCTAGTTTTTTTTAAAACTACGTATCTTCAATTATGGTATATTAGTTGACCTCATCATTAATTTATATCACTTAAGAACTAATTAGATAAATTTAAAAAACGCATAATTAAAATGAGTCGTTATTATAAAATAAATATAACAAGAAATATTTGGCATTGCACTACATACCAACAGGTTAATAGACACTCATTCAATAAAATGCATATACACTCTAGTAAATATTTTGAGATTGAAAATTATTTAAATAAGAGCATGAAACAGAAATTAGTATGAAACCATTGAATTCTTGAACAGATCTAAGGGATTGCATAATTACATTAGTCTATATTACCTAAAATGTCTCATGTTCAGTTTAAAAATTTATAAATTTCCAATTTTTAATAAAATTTCACTATTTGCAAATAATGAAATCTAAGAGTAATTATTGTAAAATAAGTTGAATCTCAAATATTTGTATCAGTTCTTGTATGCTTGTCTTATTATACAGTGGTACATTGTACTTTGTTAATTAAATTATTCTTTATCAATTGTTCAGGCGAGAAGGTAACTTTGGTATTACTATTGGATACATTTAAATTCGCAGAACTGTCTTTTTTAACTCCGTTTCCCTCATCACATATAAATACTTTAATGGTATCTGCTGGAGGGGTACTTGCAGCAGGTGGCGTTTCTGGCACACCAATTGGATAAATGAGTTCTTTTTTATCACCATTAATTTGTATACTTGGTTGATGTCTTTCAAAAATCTTTTTTCTAATTGTGTTTTTCGTTAATTCTGGTGGATGCGGTAGCGCGTATCGCAATTTATCCCAGAACCAAGGATCGCCCCATTTCACATACGTGTTCATGCTTAAATAAGCTTTAAGTTCTGGATCCAAATCATCGGTAGGACCGATTTCACCGTACAAGATTAAAATTACTCTTGCTCGGCCTTCACTGAGGGCTTGACTGTGGGCAGCTCTGAATTCCATTCGTCCCCAAACACTTTCTAAGAAATTCGGTGACAACACGACTATTGTTCTTTTTGAATCTTCAACAGAACGAGCAATTTGAGTTGGTATCCATTCTCCTGCTAACCAGTCCCGAAAGTGTAGGCACAGTTTAAACGGTCTAGCACCACTTTCTAACACAGACACTAACTCGTTTACAACGAAATCTTCATCTTTATGCGAGTAACTTATAAACGCGTCGTACAACTTATCTTTATCTAATTCATCTTCGGTAACAAACCACAAGCACAACTGATGCGCGTATAACCAAACTTTAATCTCTCGTTGGTATCGGTAGTACAATGCCGCTAACATACCGATTATCAGTCCAGTGAACGCTATAGCTAGACTAATTCCTACGATCATTATGGTGTCTGCAGGACAAAAGTCTGTTGCTGTCATTTTCAACATTGGAGTGTTTATATCCTTACATGTAATGTGCAAGGATTCCGAAATTTTTCCAACTTTCGTCTGGATAAAATTTAGAAAGTCTCTGGCATCGCAATCGCATACCCATGGATTCCCGTGTAACGTCAGACTCTTCAATTTGGTAGAGTTTCTCATGAAATATAAAACATCAGAATCCATTTTGCTAATGTTATTGTTATGTAACTCTAAAACCTGAAACATTCAATAGAACATATATCATACTAACCTCAAAATTAAGATTTCAAGTATTAACTTCATGATATCTATAAATTATTTTGTTAGAAGAGATAGTATATAAATAATTAATTCTATTTGTAGATTATTTAATTAAAAGAGTATTTGTCTTTAGAAAGTATTTATTATATAGTAATATACAAATAAAACTTGTGTTACTCACCTCAATAGCCAATGGTAATGCATCTAAAGATACACTTGAGATATTAGTGTCTGACAAATACAGTTTTGATATTGAAACATTGTTCAGGCCAATGTCTGCCAAAGGCATCAGTTTAGTCAACTTATTACCCGTTAAATTTAATTCAAGTTTATAATGTGGTGGAATCTGAATATTGTGTGGCACACTTATTAAATTCTTATAGGAACAATCGATTAAGAAACTTCTGTCATGTGGTTTCACCCAACATGTACAACTTGTTGGACAATGATGCAGTATTTCACACTTTAAGGATTTAGACTTTAAGTCTGATACAAGTATATTTGTTATCCATTCTGGACTTTGGCATGATAAGCTACCTGGTTTTATGTGAAAATAGTTTTGCACATAGGGATGCATTTTGCCTTCCAAGTAACGAAGAAAGTCATACAAATCACAGTCACAAGCTATTGGATTATTTTCCACTAGTATTATTACATCACGTGGGAGAGTTTGTAAACTTGCTACATTTTCAGCATTATTTAGGTAAATATGTGATATATTATTATGTCTTAGGTCCACTTCAATATTATTGGATATAAATTGCAGATCTTCAGTCTGAAATGATTCATAAAAATATCATTAAATTTACGTATACACATTATACTTTAAACTTTGCTTTATACATTTGTTTCATGTACTAACCGAGATGTTAGGTATTTGGTTGTACTTGAGATCCAATATTCTTAGATTCAAGTTGCTTATAATCCAATCACTAAATATTTCCGAAATATTATTCTTATCGAGATACAGTTCTTCTAGAAAGTTGCAACTATGAAAAGGTGATTTCTTTCCATATTCGTCTTGGTACATAGATAATGAATTATTAAATGAAAGCTGATTCTCAGAAAATATTGCAACTTTCAGATATCTTAAAGAATTAAAACTTGTATCTTCTATTATTCGCAACTGATTCTCTTTCATGTTTAATATCTCCAGTGATTCCAAACTTTCAAATAAATGTCTGTAACAATTTCGATAGTTTGTTAAAAACACAAATCTACAAAATCCTACTAGATTCCTTCATTATGGTGTACAGCTAACTTTTTAGCGAGTACTAACATTGCTACAATAATACACGTACCTGGATATTGAAGTAATGTGATTTTTCGATAAATCTAGCTTAACTAATTTCCTGGCGTCCGAAAATATCATATCAGGCAACGATGTAAGTTCGTTGCATCCGAGTTCTAACATGTACAAATTATCCAATCCTTTGAATATATCCTGAGGAAGGGACGTAAGATAATTCCTCTCCAAACTAATATTGTTCAAGGCGGTAGAGCCCCAAAACAGGTTTTCCGGAAGAGTAATTAGACCGTTGCTTCGCAGCTGTACTGTTTTCAGCTCCGTCAGGTTTGCGAATAATCTCTCGGGAAAGGTCGTCATATTCTTTTTGTTCGCGTACATAACCACAGTTCTTAATTTTCTGTTATGCTGAAATAGGCCCTCTGGCAAAGACGTGAAATTGTTCCCGAATAGGTTCAGAACTTCTAGGTTCTCTAGCTTCACGAAGACATCCTTAGACAAAGTGATGAGGTCGTTTGAGTTGAGATCCAAGGATCGCAGCGAAACGAGCTTGTCAAATGTGCCTGACTTAATCTCCGTGAATTTGTTCTGCCATAAGTTGAGTAGCTGTAATTTTGTCAATCCGTCGAATACTTCCGGCTCGATGTTCCTCATCATATTCCGGCCTAATTCGAGAACTTCCAGTTTCACCGTATTGTTAAAGATTCCCGGGGGTAGATGTACATCGTTCTCCCGCAAATCGAGCCACGTGAGCTCCGGTATGTCCGCGAATATATCGTCGGTGAGATTTTTTATGTTGTTGGACGACAGAATCAATCGTTGCAGCTTTGGAAATCCTTCGAGGTGTTTTCTGGTCAGGTTCGTGTCCAAATCACCGAAGTATTGAAATATTAGCCTTTGAACATTCTTCGCGCCAAGTGTCTGTACAATTTGGCCTAAGCTCATGGCTGTAGGCAATTCGCACATTCGAAAGAAAATGGATTCCATGTCGTGGACAGGGAACAAGTCGGTCACTTGAAAATCCGACCATTGCGGAGAGTTGCGACATTGTATCTAAATAAATCATAATTTAAACATATACATTATACTTCACTCAGCTGTAATTTTAGTATTATATATTTAGATGTATTATTTAGTTGCTTTATAGTTTCTCTTTAGTCCACGAGCAGGTACATTGAGTTAACAGGTTCAGAGTCTCGACTAGTGCAAAGTCTTTTAGAATTAAAATGATCTAAAATAAATGCTTTGAATGTAAAATAAATGAATCTGAATTTTCATCACTTAATTATAACACCATAAACTTATGAACAGACTAAAAAAACATATGCAGTTTGTTAAATCTACTTAAATATTCTTTAAAAATATTTACTTCGTAAAATTGAATCATTACAAATTTAAATAGGAAATTATATCGTGGCCTAATGACATTATATCGATGGAATAATATTCAATAGTAATTGAAATATGGATAAATTTACGATCATGTGAAATTTGTTAACATCGTAGTCAAAAGTGCGCTTTATCGTGACTTTATAATTTTGTATTGTATCGAAGACATGAGTTCAGTTTTCTTCTTGAGAACGCGTACATCAACCTTTCCCATACGGATTGTTAGCATATTACGTAAAGGAAAGAGAAAGTTCTGGATAATAATACTGAATAAAACTGTAGAGTGAAGAATCTGATCAGAATTTCATTTAAACACTATATTCTGAAGATCTCAGACTGTATAACAAATTATTATTTTATTATCTTTACTCAATCAATTTTGCTATTATCAACTTTAACATTAAATGAAAATTTTTAATCTTTATATCCAGAAAACATACGATTAAACAAGTACACTACTACCATTTTTTATTTTAATTTACGTATAAAACAAAGTAGTTAAATAAGCATTATTAGAAACTCAAAAACTAATTATTTAATTCTATTCTAATTATTGTAATAGAGAAACTATTTACGAAAGCATACGTTAAAACAAAAAAAATGAATTAACAGATTATTTATTTGAGGCTTTACTAAATAGTGAAAAAGTATACAAAAATAAGCGAGAATCTATAACAGATAAAAAAAATATTGCTCAGATACCACTAGTGAGCCGCACCAGAGACCACAAATGTGCAGTCAATTGCAGTGGTTCAAAGAAAATCACATTTTGCAAAATAATGATGATATTAAAAAAAATGTATCTATTAAACCCTCATAAAAGTAACTCTTCTAGTAAAAAGTATTCCGAGAACCTATTTTTCCATTAATTCATATCATGTGAATGAAACACGTGTATTCTTCTTCCTGTCCATATAATGCTCTAATGTGTCTTCAAGAGGAAAAAAAACTTTAACGAGAACTAACGAATTTCCATTTCATCTTTAACTCGACCCTTTAACAGCGTGTGCACGTTCTCTATGTTCGTAAATTAATAGCAATTGTTGTAAAGAATCGCTTATAAAATATTCTATCGTTGGTTTTTTCACATATCAGTTAACAGAAATCGATCCTCCAATTACATTTCAAAGCACAGAATGAACACATTGTCTGGACTTCACAGTGTGAACGTATGGCCAGACGCACGGAACTGCTAAAGGGTCAATTAGCAAAATGAATTCTTCTCTGATTTTCGCGAAGTAATCGTGGTAAAGTGAAATTTTTTGTGAACCTCCACGGCCTAGCGGATCGTCTTCGTTGTTCAATCTTTCGATCGATCAGTAACAGACACCGAAGACTCTCCTCGCGGAGTATCGGTGAGTCACTCGTGCTCACCTGGATATATTTGTACGGTTGGACATTCACGATGAAGGCCGAATCGTTCCCCGTCCGACAGTGTATCTCGGTGTCGCGATTGTGACTCGGATGGCAGCTACACGATCGTTCCGGGCACTGAATCTCGAATGTCTTGCACGCGACGATGATCAACGGGAAAACGATCCACCAATGACCGATCATTCTGCAGACCCCTCGTGCGTACTCTGGAGAAAAGAAAATTCATCCGTTTTCATGGCGACTTAAATAGCGAAACTGCGAATCGGAAATCGCGAGGCACATCGAATCAGATAAATCGTACCGACTTCCTTGTTTCCGCGATAAGAACGCCAATGGCACTCGTGTAATACACTGAAATCGTTTATCAGATCATCGGTGAACCTACCACTGCCGATCGTTCGAATAATCTCATGTAAATATGCGCGTTTAAGTTAATTTTATGAGGCGACATTCTGTTTCTCGGACAGAAAAGACCGTACCAAAGATGGAAACGTCGATCAGAAAACGGAATACGTTTGTGATCATAGCCATCGCTGTAGCCATGATTAACCCTTGTACTACTACCTTGTTAGTTTTCCGGGTACCATCCAAAAATACCTTGAAAAATATGGGATTTTTGAGGTATCTATTAATATTAACACGATTTCGTGGGTTTTATTGTTTAAAATAAAATTGAAATTGAGCTATCGAGAAAAAAAATTTGAACATAAAGGGAATAAACGTTACAAACACCGTGAAAAACATTTATGATTTGTTTGTCAAGCTGTTGTGTCAATCCCATTCGGTGTCAAACCGCAAAATTTATTAATATAATTTAATTATATAAATTCAGTAAATCATAGTTTTCAAAAAATTTGTTTATTAGAATAAAACTTTCTATTGAAAGTAGGTATACTACAAAAGAATCATTATACATTTTATTAAATTACAATTAAAATTATTATTAGTCTTTTAGAAAACTCATCAAAATTTTTGCATTGACACAATATAGTAGCAGATAAAACCTTCACGCTACTCTCGGGTAATGATCGTACTATTCTCGCCTCAACGATTGAACGCGGCGATACTCGAGAATTTATCGGTCTTGATTCGCGACTGAATACAAGAAGAATGAGAAAAACGTGTTCCGTGATTGTTACCAATCGATGGAATGTCGAAAGACAATGCTCGTCACGTATCGAAATCCCTTCGTAATTCTGCACTGCGCGACGTAGATCCGGGCTAACGACCCGTACGCACGTTCGCTGAAAACCGAGAGACACGCCTCTTTCCACGACTCTTTTTCAGGATGCGTAATACATCGAGGAACGCATGTGAACGAGCTTTCGCGGAGGTCGAACGTGAAATGAACACAATGTAAATTGTTCAGATTTCAAATGATCCAAGAAATGATTAAATTAACACCTTTCCGATTGGAAGTCTATCGATAGTCTTATTTTTTAAATAAAAAATTTTATTAAAACTTTTATTTTAATATATTTTGGGGATTTGCAGTTTACTTATAACAAAACCTAAAATAATATAACCTTCGCAAACTAATAAAATAAAAAATACGTTCAAAGTACACCTTTCCATTTTATTGCATTTTATGCACTCGTACACGTGGCAAATGCATAAAGTCCGTCATCTAGTTACTAGAATCGAACGGGAACTTCAAAAAATTTTGCATTATTTTTAATAGTAGGGAAACAATATTCGTGAATTATTTTGAATATTAAATAAGTATACCCAATCCTCATTTTGCAGGATCAATTGGTACTATTTAAAGCAAAGTCGTTGTACATTTAAAAAAAAAAAAAAATAAACAGTACATCAGTGTATTATATACATTGAAAATTTACTTTTTTCAGTAACAAAGTTACATGTAGTAGACGTAAACAATTATACACGACACTGAGAGAGTTAAGTACAGATTTACAGAGTCCATTGCATTAATCATTTACTATTGCAAGCTTAGTAATCTATGTCGAATTAGATCTTACGTGTAAAAATGAAAGGAAACCGTATAAAATGCAGTTTTACTCTATTTTTCAGACAATATTAATCGCGCAATTTGTGGGTTACCTCTATTTCAAAATCGGAATATATTTTAAAATGATCATAAATAGGAAAAAACAGGTATCTTAATGATCATTTACATACTTCTTAATATAAACCTCATGTAAAACATTCATGATCTTTATTATTCAAGGTTACATGAAAGTATATATATTATTTTCAATGGTTACGGCGTCATATGGACGAAAATACGTTGATCATTTAAAAAGACATCGACGAGATCGAGGAAAAGTTTTCTGCTTATCTATGTACTTATTTCTCTTCAATGATCCATCTTTTTCCGCGTTTTTTTTTGTGTCGCTAAGAATATTGAAAATATCTTTGATGATTTAACCCTTAATTAGAGACCACCCATATTAGAGACAAATTTTGATTTCACTATCACAACCTAGTGGAGGATTTTGAAAGTTTTAGCATTTGAGTACTTTCAATTGACATTAAGTGGCACACTATTTCCATATTCATCCTGAAGCCAAGTAGTCTGCAGTTAATAGTTAAGATGAACGAAAGGGTCCTTTCTTAAACACAAATCAAATTATAATGACGGTACTATTGCTTGAGAAATTACATTCGAATTATATAATATTGTTAACCCTTTGTTATCCCGTTATTTTTACTACTTCCCTGGGTCCCCGGGGTCTTTTATGTTCTTATCTTATAGGCTTCCAAAAAATCTGAATAAATTCCGGATTTCTTGCCAGAGTTTCTACTACCTGATCAAATAGTTTTTTAAGTCGAATAAGCTGTTTTTTTAATAACAGTCCCTTCGTTTCGAAGATATTTGAACACAAAATTTCGCTTGTGCCATAAACGACCCAGGGGGAGTCATCGATGGCTAAAATATAATAATATTGTTAAAAAGACCATTAGTATTCGTAGTGTATTCAGTAACGCTGGATTAGACCCTCACATTAAAATCACAAGATAAAGCTCCGACAGATTCGTACGTAATGTCGGGGTCTAAGTGCTTACATTACTTTAATGACCCGATTCACAAAGTTCCAAGTGTCCGATAAACATTTTTTAAATGCACTAGTCACTAGTGTATTATCTTAATGTCGTCATTATGTTCAACAAGCGAACGTAAATATTTGCTATTAGATTTTTCTTCCTATTTAGTTCGTGTATCATTGCCATTATGTCAGTTCGCCAAATAATGATGTCTATACAATAATTCAGTCGTACGCTCTAGAACACAGATTATATTTACAATGTTTTCCATAATCTATATCTATAACAACACATATTAATATGTTTAAATATATTAATTCACGACAATTAATATATGTTTTTACAATTTCCCGTCTTTATGTTCAATTGTTTACATTTCTCCGTGATTCTTCAATCCCTTTCACTTTTTCTGGCAATTATGCAACGTATTAATATACAATATACTGGCTTTGAAATACGTAAAGATGATCCAAGGCATAAAATTGTATACCAAGATGATATTGTTTTAGCTGTCCTTGTTGGAGAAAATAATGACAAAGCGGAAGAAATGGTCGTTAGTAGACCGCGGATTTTATGCACATAGTCTTATGGCTTTGTGAAATACAATAAAGGGCAAAATTTTCATCAGACGCAACGCGTTTTCTGTTATATGTATTTTTAGCTTAATAAGATACGTAAGGGAAAATAGAAATGCCTAATTTTGTTCTTTTCCTTGTGAATTACTGTTTAAAATATCATTTTGTGGCATTCAAATAGGTATTTATTTTATTTAGCGATCTTCCCTGTAATAAACATCCATCTATCGAAATTACATTATTCCTAATTGTTTTATGGAATATATTAAACTTCGGTTCTCCTGGACAGTTTATATCCGACTGGATTTGTTACCGTATTACACAGTTCAGATAATTGGCATTTTGCTGTATTTAAAAAGAAAGGAATTAAGATATTCTTAACTCATTTTTCGATAAAACAATGTTAACTAATTTGATTAGATGATAGACAAGATATTCGCAGGCCAATATAAAAATAGAATAAGCTATTGAGTATGTAATTTCTGATAATCATTTAATACCTATTATCAGCTTTCTCAATGATAAAACAAATGAAACTTATATAAAAGCTAGTTACTCACTAGTGTAATACCGTGCAAAATTTTAATGTCGTAAACAGTTCGAAATGTTGAGTCTATCTACTACACTTGTATTTTACATACAAATACAAATTACAAAATTCAACATTTTGAATAAAATTTAATATACTGTAAACTATTTTAGTTCACTTAAATATACCTACTTGGTATATGTAATATAAGAAGTAAGAAATGAAGGTATCAATTTTATATCAAAAATACAGGTTTAAGTGTACTTTCTTTGCGAACTTCTACATGATAAAGATACACAGATGGTTTTTTTAACGGAAACGCAATTTTATATTGTAATAAATAATCTTCTTTTCAAAAAAGATAGCATACATACACGCCTCTGTTGCTATAAATAGAATATGAGACATGGCAACTTGACAAACTTTTTAGATATTGATAATGAAAGATATAAGTATACATATGGGGTGGGGTACCTGAAATGACCACGTTTATTTACATCCGATGACATTATAGATCGGAAATACTTAATAGTTTTGAACGTACTCAATAGTTTTTAAATCTCTACAAATTTTTGCCCGTTTCAACGGAAAACAAATTTACGCTCTGAGGATGTTCCCTTTGTCTAGTCTAAAAAACCGTATATATTAATTTAGAAGTATTTGGGACGATTTCACCAAGTTTCATGAAAATCACAAGCTGGACCTTTTCGGAACTACATCCGTAACGTTTCTTGCAAAATTTTCTAACATTCGTAAATTCCTATCGCATCGCTCGATTGGCCTCATCGCGTGATGTAAACAGAAAGATCATAAAAATCAGATCGGCACTTAAACGTGGTAATGTTAAAACATTGTAACCTAACACACACAAACTATTTCTTTCGTCTCGATCAAATCACGCGGCCGATCAATTACTGTGGCAGAGACTGATTCCCTTCGATCTCAGGAGTGTATTTCATCACGATTTCTTGGATTTATAACTCTGTGATAATACCAACCGGATAATTGCTCTGTTAATTACACATGCTACAGGTATAGAGCGCGCCGAACGTGACGCGCCATAGGTAGACAATGTCGATTTACAGAGAGACTAAGGACGATCAACGTTCTCTTTTGCTGTTGCACTGAAATGCCGTGAAACCAGTTGCTAGCTGCTTACATCCACGCGTGATAAAAAGAAAAATTTAATTCGAGAGAACGGACGCTCTTGCGGTCCACAAAAAGTGCATACATTTTGTGGAGACGAAAGGACATTTGTTCATTCGTGGAAACTAAATATTTAAATAGTATTGCTTAGCTACTCTCTGGTATTTTAGGAACCTTTGTGCAGAATACGAAATGGTTAGTAATTTTATACGTGTATAATTTTATCTTTATTGATGACTAATTTAGTAGCTTTTAAATTTATTGAAACAGAATAAATGTATTATGCACATCGTGGAATTGATTTCTGAAAAAGCCAATGCATGCTAATAGATACGGAGCTGCGCAGATAATTAAACTTGAAACGATGTTCTGTACGTGTTTGTTGATTTTCTGGAAGTGTTCATTTTGGAATTAGTAATTCGAAAGTTTTGTGATGTCGTGGATTAGTATCAATCGCGGGAAAGTGTACTTTTCTTCGTCTAGCAAGCGTGATCAGTAGACTGTTGATGTTTATGCATTTATAATCGCATGTCTGACTGCCTAAAACTTTGTACATAGTAAAAAGTTTAATAAACTTCTTGTTGCATTTGGAACCGAAAAGAATCTTTAATAGAGTGATCCAATTTCTGTTCGGTACCAGTTTCTCCACATTTGCCCGTGAATACCTATATTTGCATGAACATTCGCAGTGTATCGATCAGTATCGAAATTCTTAAATACTACGAACCCGGAAATAATTCTGATAGAAATCTGATACAATATCTGCAAGTCATTAAAAAGAAACCGTTAAAACGTTGACCACTAAAGAGAAAAATCTAATTTATAAAAGATCCATCCACGATAGGTATCTTGACGAAGACGTTAAAATCGATTAAATCGACTGTTGATCGAATCCTTGCAAAAATAATGTATACTGAATCTATGTTAAAAAAGTGTGAATAGAACATTGTTTTAAAAAAACGCGTAATTTCCTTTGTTTTATAGCTTTAGTCTAATAATTTGTACATTTCTGTATTAATTATATAGTTTTTAATATTTAATGAAACTAATTACTAGATTGCAGACGTTATAGTCTTACTTGCAAGAATAAGAATGTGTTTTGTTCACTTTCGAAATCGTAAACATAAATAATACCTGTAGCTAATGCATAATCCGTTGATATTGATTTATAACGATGAATCCGAAGGGGATTACGAATGCTTTATGCGGATTCAAATTTAACGATTCGAGATAACGATTCGTGAATTTATCACGGTTATTATCGTTTAATATACAATTATCAAAATTTTCGTTTAATCAATTTTAATAATTTTTTAAAGCACTTAGACTTAGATTGGTAAGTTCTATAAACTATTAGGATCTATATTTGGAACTGATCAAATGTAATCGGCTTTAGTCACAATGAGAAGATAATTTCATAAATATTTCAGTGAAATATTCATTAATGAAAAATGAAACTTAGTACTAAACCTTTTTGCAACGAGAGCTCAAATAATAATGAGTGGTACTGTAAGTATCACTATTTTTCTTTTTAATTCCTAAATTCTGTTTCTTATATATATTTTTAATTTAAATATTTATGTAATAATTATCAAATCTACGAAGGTTGCCTTTTGAGAATTATAATAATCTAACAAAGTTCCATAGAAACTCACATATTATGTTCAATAATCTTTTAATTGCAAAGATTTGTATAGTCTCGTACTATACTACATACAGATGAATGGGTAAATCCCGGTTCATGACGATTGCATAATTGCGCAAATAACACTCCGTACAAATCTAACTATTAATGGTAACAAGTTACTAACAAACAACGATAATAAATACTAGTGAACAAGTAATATCTAAAGTATAACTTGTTCTCAATATTTATTATTTACGATTTCAATGTTATTTAAATTTCTTAATTTTCAATATTTTTGATATAGTGTACATTAATGCCGAAAAATTTTCTTCACATTTTTATGATACTCTCGATACAACACGTTTGCAATCATTTCTTGTTTCTGTCGAGAAATATCATTGCTGGAAGATCGTACATCGGAATTAAAAAAATTATAATGTTTCGAAGGAAAAATAACAGAGAAGCTGCGGAGTTGTTATCTAACACGCTGTGATACGGGGGCATTTAAACGAGATACAAAGATGTTCAGCCAGTATGTTTCGAAATGTTTAATTGAAATTCGCAAAAGTGTAATATTTTTTTCTTAACAGACATTGCACTGGTATATGTATTGTGATAAATCACACGTATGACTTAAATAACGAATATAACAAAATAAACAAACCGTGTAAAGTTTGGGACGCATATTAAAAAGTTCTGTCCTAAATAACCTCTTCTAAATTTGTAAAGAAATATGTTTTACTTTTATCTGATTATTCCAATGACTAGATTTCTTTATATTGCAAAAAATATATAAAAATATATTTCGATTTCTTATAATACAAAGTTATTTTAAAAACAGGCTAATTGAGACGCGTCGTATCCAATCATTATTAAAATTGTTTTACTAATTTAGCTATACTTTCAAATAAACTGAAAGAATAATATACAGATCCTGAAAAGATAATATTAACGTACCGATAAGTATGCTATGACGTTGCTACAACATAATGATTCTACTTTCTCCCACAGCGTGATTGCACAAGTCCTGTAAAATCTGGTGCTCACTCTGACTCCATGCAGAGAAACAACTTTGTTTTTGTGATAATATTATCTCGTATGATTTATACACGCGGTGATATCAATGAGCAAAAATATTTCAACAGCAATAATACATATGATTATATCAAACTTCCTTCCGCGCCTGTCATTTGTTTACCATGTCCTCAAACAAAAAGTACACCGCAGCGCAACATGCGATCGAACTGATCGATTTTCTGTGTATCCATTTTACCATTGCAGTGTCGAACATGCGACGCTTTCGCACGAATTTTAATCGATACACCGTGCAAAACGCGCGACACTACCGCGATAAAGCTTGTAAATTAACGGTTAACCATTTCCCGGAAAACACACCACAGGGAATTATGCTCGCCTGTTTAAGAAGTAAGCGAAATAGATAGACTGTTATCGATGTCACTTTAAAAGCAAATTCACGGATCGATTAAAGCATATGATGCCTATCTCGACGGCACTAACCTCTCAGCTTCATCATCGTATCAAGTGACGTTTCGGACGTTGGAAAATTTCGCGCGATAATTATTCGCGTACTCTCACTGTCTACGCAAACGATTATTCTCGTTGGATATTCCCCCAGCTGTTCGAAACCGCCAGAAAGAAAAGACCATTGGTGTTTCGGTCGATACAGATGAATTAAATTTGTCAACCGGGCCATGGTTACCACATTATAAACCGGTTGTCGAAAGAATAACGGGTCTTCAAAATCCAACATTTCACTCACCCAAAGTTCAACGTAGATCAATCACGTAGCGATCATCCGTTGTCGCTCCTTTGTTTTGTTTTGTCCCGTCGTCCGATTGCGCGCCGTTGCAAATCACGTAAACACACTACGCGTTATTTACACAGACGCTGAAGAACGTTGAAGAAATTCTGTTGTCGCAGTCTACTCGAGTCCAAATCTGGATCACGTAACAATTGAACCGCAAATGGGAGAAATAATAAATTTTGATCGCGCACCAAACCGGATTGAGATTCTAAAACTACACACCACACGCGAGACGGTTCGGTACGAACTGACGGTTCTTAGCGCGCTTGTGTCCGTTACAAGTTCTGACTCGGTATGACGGAACTAAACCACGTGATCGTCGAACCAATGAGTAAACTAGCGCCACTGTGACCGGCCCAGATAAATGCACGTATGCCACCTGCGGTGGGGGAAGACCCCTTGGAATTTCATTGAATGAATAAGATTGAGCATGAAGTGTTTTGTTTCATTGAATAAATTATTAAAATTTTTTTTACACATTTTTCATGATATTTGAAGACTTTGTTATGATCTTCAGCACCTACTGCATTACCGACAGTTACGAGTGTTGTAATTTGGACTGGATAAAAACACCCCACTTGGTTTATTCTTTTCGTGTAATCGGAAATGGAAGAATTTTATTTGAACAATAAATTCTTATACATTTTATTTTTTATTTGTTATTTCAATCGTTTTAGTTAGACCATTTGATCATCTATCAGTATAAAATAATTGTTATAATGACCAAAGGAATTGAAAGTGAAATTTACAAAATAAAAAATGTTTATTTTTATGTATGCAATGATGCTTTGTTACACAGATAATTATAGAAATACAGAGTTCAGAATGTTTTGAGAAATAAAATTTGTGTTATGGCTAAATTGGAATTGAAGCTTTTAACGCGTTTTATTTTTGAACTTAGAAAGTTCGAAAAAATAAATGTAAATTTATAGTGTATTTTTTAAATCAGTTTAGTCTAATTCTTGAAAATATGAAGTTACAAGTTTAATTTTACTGAAAGGTCAAGTATGGAGAGGCATTTATGTATTGCAATTCTGGGAGAAATCACTGACCTTCAGTATTTTAAGCACCAAAAAATCAAATAACGTGCACTCCCAACCATTACTGTCAGAATTTTTCATGGTGCACACGTTCTGAGGCAGTCTTTATTGTACTTCATACAAATGGATTATGCATTGAATGACATGTGAAGGATAAAAAGGTTACTTTTCAGATCAACCTCCACTTCTCCAAGAATATTTTATACTTCACATTTGAACTAAAATATACAATTCTTAATTATAATATTATAATTTATCTTACTATAACTAATTCGTTTAAATAATAAATTGTTTCCGCATAAAATTCATTTTCCTAAATCATTTTTTAAATACAAATAATAAAATATTAAAAAATAATTTGTTATTTGAAATATTGTTTTTTATTTTACATTTTTTATAATTTATACCCAAATTAATTTTTATTACAAATCTATTTAAAAAATTAAGAAATGAAAAATTTTGAAAATTGTTTTTAACATTGATTCATTTCCAATGAAAAATATTCTTATTGATAGAGCATAAAACAGATCTTTGAAGGGTAACCTTAAGTAGGACATCTCCTATAAAAAAAGGGTTTGAGTTTCTGGTTCCATCGTTGGAAATAACTGTAATAAGATAGTATAATCTCTTGAAGAGGCAGGAAGGGGAAGAGCTTCTTGAGCAGACACCAGAAACTCAACTCTCTCCAAAGGGCTTCCAGACATTTCCGCCGGCACATGTCCCTTTCTAGTAGGTGTTCCGAGTTAAGTAAATATTTACAGAGAAAAGTTATGTCAGCTTTATCCATTCAATAGAGCAAAGAACTTTAAGGATTTCTGATTTTCATTATCAAAATCTGTTATACATGTGCACTTTTTCTTCTCACTTAATAAATTTAATGTATCTATATATGTAATCACTTATGTACATGAAGAATCTGGTAATATTACAGATGAAAGTAATACGAGAAAACCTGTAAATCTGAATGTAAAAGTGTACATACAGCGTAATGTGATATAAGTTTAATTAATATTTGTTATAAAATATTTATGAAACTCTTCAACTTTTTAAATACTCTGTGTGAGATCTGTGCTAATATATTTATAAATATTCATGAAGGGAAAAATAAATTTGCAGATTGCATCTTAACCCCAAAGATGGCTGGGTAAAATCATTATTATGATATATTGCTATTTTAAAATTCTTGTAATTCTTCCGGCTTTTCATCAGTTGTATTATTCTTTCCATATTTATCGCGAAAATCTAGATTCTAGATCAATTTTTTCAGCGATTTATAGAGTTGACAAGAAGATTACGACAGATTAAGATAGTAATGCGCGGAGGAGTTAAAAGATATCTGAATTATTACTGAGATCAACGTTAATGTACTCATCGTTCGGACTATTTTATCGACACGATTGCATCAAAAACTTATATACCAGATAATATGCACAAGTTAATACTGAAATTGTTAATTTCATGGTGTTCGAAATAATCTTTTACAAGAATTATCCAAATAATATTAATTTCAGCAATGTCCCTATTTGCGTCATTTCAACACGAAACATTAATTTTGATTGCCGTTCTTATTTAACGCAAGTGAGAAACCATTTTTCATCACTGCACGTCTTTATCTTTGGTCACAGTATGCTTTAAAAAAATTTTCTGCAGCGCGAAGGTTAATACTATACTACCAAAAAATTTGAATCTATTTAGATTATGTACCTTTTTGAAAGATGAAACTATTTATTTACACCCTCCACGGTTTTTGTATACCAAATCCTCTAAGAATTGTCTACATACGTATACGCAGCTATTTCTCTTGCTAACTGAGCCATAAATTCGAAACAATGAAAGCGCAATTGTCCACGAAGAAAGGTTTTCTCCCTTTTCCTTTCCGGTGAATACATAAGTGATTCGAAGGTATACGGGGAGGGAGCTCGCTCAAGTACCCAGATGCGACGAGACATTTTTGATCCTGAAAAGTTCTGGTCGCCACATGGCCTAGAATAATATACTTCCGTGCAGTCGGTTTTTTTCCACGACAGCTCTTTGTCGTGAAAAGTATCCCCATTTAGAATGCTGTACCCCTCGAAGAATCTTGTAAGATGATTTCATAAGGGCAAGCAGATGTGTACTACGATGCCTGGCATTACTATTTCCGTTTCCGCTCCTTTCAGCACTGTTCGCCACGTGCCACGGTACAGAAATTAAAATTCCTTTTTCTTTTATTCGTGCATAGAAGGAATAGCTACGATCTATTTGATTTAAATCTGATTATGTTGAAGTTTCTCTTTATAAAATAAGCGATGTTAATTTTTAGATATTAATCAATTGACTGGATTTTATGCGTTTGCTCCAGGTTCTGTACATTCAACGATTATTGATTATGGTAATACAACAAAGATATGTCGAATGATTGTGTAATACAATCAGTGTGAACTGATAATAATTAATGTAATGTTATGAGAGAATATTAATAATGTTGTACGCGTTTTCTTTTAATCTTTTAATGTATATATTTATTGATTAATACTGATAGTAAGTATTGTATATAAGTTTTGCACTTATCAACGATCAAATCGTGATTGACTGATTTACGCGTAAGTAACAGTCAATATTGAAAGAATTACAGTCGGTAGGTGTTACCAAAGCTAAACTATAACGCTATTAATATCAAAATATTAGTTGACACTATATTCATTATTTTTTAATTCATTAAAGTTTTTTATTATTCAACTTTTATACCATACTATGGATGCCACCAATTCTTTTGTACCATTTGTAATCAGGTATTCCAGAATCGAAATTTGAGTACTAAAACTGATATTAGCTTCAACTTCTAAAAAATTAGCGTTTTATCTATTCGAGGTGTTGGGTTAATTTCAAACTTCGTATAATCGGATGTAATTCTATTTGGAATCTTTTTTGTTAAATCGCCAATTTATACGTGGCAAACAGGTTCGATGGAAATGTTGACGGAGCATCGACACCTCATTGAACTGGTTTTCTCCGTTCAACTTTTACATAGGATTTTCCTGTCCCATCGGAATTCCCAACGAACGTATATGGGGGAATCGACGCGTAATTATCTCCCGGGTTACTTGGGTTGAATGGTACAATTTCGGTTATTTCCCCTGCGTACAAATAGTAATGAATAAATATAGAAGAATTTAGTACTATAACAGTGAAATATGTTTTATTGTTATTAAACAGTGATTATATGTTTAGCGATTTTCTCCAATTAAATGTAGATGTTAACTATTAAAAAAACGAATATTTTTCTTATCTTCTTTTCAGTGTATTGCAATGAGTTATACTTGGAGGTGCCTTGTGCCATCTAATTATAATTGGCGAGAGTTAAAAACACATTTTAGTTATAAATTTATCAAAATAATAACGAATGGGTTAAGAATTTCCTAATAGTTCATCACTGATATTAGTTACGATTTTCTGGTCGTTTGTAGATAATTGTTTTCTTCATAATCTTAATGGTGAATATTTGAAAAACCCTTTAGTGACTTTAACGCCATCATTTGCGCACGGTTTTAGTGTCTTCAACATGGCGTAATTATCACGACATTACGTCCCCTTATGAAAGCTTTTTGACAAAGGTTTGTGGTGCTTAGTGAAACTGGATAAGATAAGGGAGTCTAATTAACAGCAGATTAGCGCAACTTGTGCAATATATCGTGACTAAAATTTTATTAGCAGCGATGAAGAATGTATAATTATGTAGGTTTTACAAGCAAACTTTAGTTATTTCCGTACTTACGGTGGAATTATGTATAAAAATCAATTAGTTCAATTTGAAAAGAGTAGATACATATACGATTAATTTTCATACTACGTATATGTATATAATGTACTAAGGGTTGCACATATATTTTATATCTTATCATACAAATCAGATTTTATTCATCTGATTTTCTTTCCGATCTACTACCCTTTGTCACGGGAAAATTATATTCGCTTGATTATAATTAATCAAGTTTAGCAGTTTATAATTAATCAAGCAATTTGTATCTTATAGTTACTATATTTATACTTAATAAGCAGCAACACCTGCTGTAATTATGAAAATTTTATCCTGTTCACTGAATAAATTATCATTCATTAGTTTCGAACTAAATATTATATCAATGCACATTTCGATTTCCAATTACACAAAGACTATTTGGTGGCAAATATTAAAAGATAGTATTGATTAGCATTGATTAGAAAAATTCGGTGTATTAGATAGCGCTGGTTATATGTAATATTCTTACTACTACTTATAAACTTCACGGGTTATCGTCGTTTCATTCGTACTCGAGTATGTTTACACAATATAGAATATATAGATTACCATACATTGCGTACTACGTAGGAATCTTTTCCTTGTTAGTTATATAATATTAAAAATGTAAATTACAAATTTATCAGCGATAGTTAAGGCTGGCATTACAAACGTCGGTAGTATAGTTTTTATCTATGAATTTTGCGTTAATAAGTTTACGAGTAATTTCTATGTCAAACTGAGGACAGTTTGATCACTCGAAGAAGAATATTTCCTAAACTACATAATTTCTCGTTTTCTTATGAATAATAGTTGTTCAGATAAATAATAATAGGACAATTGCTTGTCTTCAAGAGATATCAGAAAATGTATTTGTCTGTATTAATGCAAATTCATACTTCCAATAATCTATTCGAAAAGACAGAATAACTAAAAATTTAGTGTAGTGTTTTATTATTTTGTGAACGGAAGAAAAAATTAATTATAAATTTAATTATACCTTATTAATATTATTATCTTTTTGTATTCTGCACAATTCGTTTATCATATCAATGCATAAAGTTTCACAGTCCATTCATATTCAAATTTAACTATACGGTATTGTCGATTTTAATTCTTTTTCTCTGCGTTATGAAAAATTTTAAAGAATTATAATAAAATGCTGTAATATCAATAATTATAGCCTTTTCAATAATATACATATATTTTCTTATTATTATCATGTACCTAGATCTGTGAACTATGTAAACATTATTCATTATTCAGATTAACTTAGTAGTATCATAAGTTTTATCATTATCGAAAAAGTTTTGATAATCAGTAGTAGAACATAATAACAATTTAAATTTTGTTTAAAAAATATATTACATAAAGAATTAAACAGTTTTTCTCAGTTCGTAAATTTAATTAGTTTACAATACATTGTTGGATAATAAATCAGTGCAAGTTTCAGTTTTGCCTAATATTGCCAATATTTACCATTCGGATCTGGCGAAACATACTTCAGTCATCATCATTAGATTGCATCAAGTACAATTTCACGTAAACATTTCACAAGGGATAGTTGACATCTTTATTAAGAATAATTGTTTCTTTATTCTTCTGATCTTATAAAAACGTTGGTATCTTATCGACTTCCATGTTTTTTTCATTTGGGTATACAGGAATCACAATGCAGCGTGGAATTCGAGTGGCAAACGAATATTACTTGCACTTGTAAATCGAGCACCGAAAGGCCTACTGCTCCACCAGATACGCACCAAGGCGTTCAAGAGTTCTCTACTAGTCATAGTCATAGTAAGTACTAAAAAGCAATATGAATAATATTGGTGATTATTAGATTGTGGATATTTATGCGTATCACATTTTTACAAGTCAAATTTCAGATGTAGGAAATTTCAGAAATTTTAGCTTAACCCTTTAATTGCCAGTACATTTACACTATTGACGTCATATATTTTCATATTCGATATGGAAAATCAAATACGCTGTGTATGTGGTCAAGTTAAATGAAATAGCCCCTATATTTTATACACCATAAAATTTAATGTCCTATAAATTCAATGCTAGTAGTTCTAATGTTAACTATATTGTTGTTTAACGGCATTTATATAAATTTGCTTTTACTATACCGTATTGTGCATTCGTTTCAGCTGGTACGGTGGCAGGCATCATACTAAGCGTTATCGCCCTGGTTGCAGCACTGCTTTATTTCCGAGATCCGGATAAGAGAGTGTGTCTGCGGTCCTGTTTACACCCATTTTCTTCGAGACGAAGCAGTGGACGCGTTCAGTACTGCAGGGTATAATAATCATACTTTGCATTCATACATATCTGCAATTAATTACTTATTTTCACCATTTATTACTCGTTAATCCTTAATTGGTAAGGTGTAAATATTATTATCTATTTATCAGTTATTACACAACTTATTTCGCATTCTCATGTAAGAAAACATCAAAAGACACAAACACCCTGTGTGACCCGCCGACGAGTCACAGTCACAGCCCATTGGGCCCACGGTGCTGCGTGTCACGTCGTCAGACCCCATTTTTTAGTATTTTATTCATTCAAGTTTAGGGTTAAGTAACGATAATCTTACTAAATTCCTGGTAACATTTTTCCGCGATTTTGTAAGCTGCAGCAAAATAACTCTTATATTTCCAGCGGATTAAATTAAATATGAGTAACGTAGTTTTCAATATTAAAATGTATTTTAAAAAATTTGTTTGGAAAATAAGAAAACATTGTTACTCGTGGGTTGAATTTGTTTAATTCTTAAGTGAATTTATTGATAGATATAAAATGTATTTTTTTATATATATTGGATTCATATTTAAATGTTTCTTGGTGAGGGAAAACTGGAAAAGGAATTAGACATTCGAGACGAAATGTATCTATTCCTGTGAAGTATAGTTTTTAAACGTGCTTAAGACATTGTTGATGTGTTTTACACGTATTTAAACAACATTTGAAAGTACTTCAGAGTATTATCGAAAAGAATCTAGTTAATTTTGAAGATTATTGTCAGTTGATTGTATTATACATATGTACTTGAAGCGAATCACTATGGAGATTATCGTTTCAATCGATACGCATTGGCTCGGCGCTTCTTTTTTTGATAAATCAGTAGTCTAGTATCAATTTATCTATGGCAGCAAGAAGACTGTAACACTTGTCACAAAATATGTAGACAGAGGGTATTTTTTCAAATTCATGTTCTTATGAATTAACAACTTTAGAAAAGTAATAGAGGCCCCATCAGCTTAAAAATACAATACAAATTTTACTAATATTTTTATTTTGCGTTTCCTATAAACGCATACACATCCACCATTTATTTAAAAATACATTGAGCCTTCATCGTCATTGTATTACCTTTTAAAATGATTTTCTAAATTAATAATTAAGACACACGCTTAAAATCAGTGGTTAATATATCATCATCAATAATTATAAATTGATTACAGTATTAGTTAACAAGATGAATGATATCATACATAATAATTAATTGTTATATGATGTAGATGGCAAAATTTCATTGTTGCCAATCATTGTCACAGTAGAGTGGCTATATTTAAATTTTTAACCCTCCCAGGTCGATATTAATTTCAGTGGACAAGAAATTATTCCCGTTGCTACATTCATTACTGGTAGCTGATATAATAAACATTTCGTGCATATAATTATTCACAATATGTAGTTAGCTCGAATGCCTTAAACAACGAACATGAAAATTGTTAGCTAACGAACTCTAGGGATGACAGTGTCAGGGTCTAGTTTCAGGTTCAATTTGTTCTACTACTATACTCAAAGAGTTACACTTCAAATCTCAAACGAAAAACAAAGGTTTCAATTCTAAATGGACCAACGCATCATCGCCTATGCTGTCCTCAAAAACCTTCATCTTCCAAAAATAATAAAAAAATATATCTATGAAAAGAAGTAATATATTTTGTATTTCAGGTCAACACTACAGAGGAAGCTCGACTTTTGCTCGACGTGGATCCCACCCAGTGTCAAACGGATAGTGACGATGATCTTTTGAATGCGTAGTCACATCTAATTGTTGTCTTTTTACATTCTACTTTACCTATAAGTTTCGAATTACGTAAAAAGAAACCTCGATCGAACAAAAAGTAGGTATTTCCATGTAAAAAGCCTGTCTCTTTAATACCATCGTTTAAATCGATTCACAATTAATTCAAACTTTGTTATTATCGTTCCGTGCCATGAAATATTTTAAAGATTTATAAACGTTACGTAATATTGTGTTCGCCGAGACACTGCGTTAATTGATAGCGCGTCTTGGTGTGTTACGAGTATTTATACTGAAAAAGTCTGTTTTCGCTTTTTGTTTTATTTAAGTTCGAAAAGTTCCTAAATGCACAGTTCAATAATTTATTTGACGCATAGAGTGATGTGTATTTAATAATTTCTTCCGATCAATACAATAAATAATTTTTTAGAAGTTTGAAATTTCTTTTATATATCGACAAGTTGTTGATAGACTGTACTGCGAATAATCTTGTTTCACGTTTGTTTTCTAAGTTGTATGGTGCGGAAAGATATTGACGATATGGTCGGGCAAAACTGAATTACTATAAAACGCATTAACATAATATTTTATTGTAATATTATGGAACTGACTTCCTTTTATTTATTATCTTTTTATTGATTTTTACTTTTTATTTTTCTGTGACAATAATAAAGATACATCTGCCTTCAGATACAGTATAAATAGAACAGTGTATCTTCCTTTATTAAAAAAACGAAAAAAATAAAAATACTGTTGGAACTGTCGATATTAATATGTACGATTTTCTAAATAGTATTCAATTCTTAACTTTCTTGCTATGTTGTAATCATTATAATTTATTTTTTTTCACCAAAATACATAAATATTCGTAAATCTTTCGAATTTATAAAAACAATTACTCTTGTCTGCAATAATATAGTTATACAAGTGTAACTTGAAAAATTTGCATTTCCAAATTTAGTAATTTCATTTTCCATAATTAAATTTTTAGTCGTTTATTGTTTGTGTAACAAATTAAACTTTTATTAATACTCACAATAGAGATTCTTTATTGTTGTCACAGTTTATACTAAAATAATGAATTTGTGCCTGGTTCGAGGCTTTGAACTTTTTTGTATGCTTACGTGATATGTACTATATGCATATATAATATTAAGAATCCTTGTGGATGATTTACTCATAATAATTTAATCTGTAACTATAACAGAACGTGGATGTTTCACTGTATCTCGGTGATATAATATAAATATGTAATTATAAAAAAACACTTATCCTGTAAATGAAACAAAAACTTTTTAAATGTTGTGTCTATAAATAATACTATTATTGTCTATAAATGTGTTAATCCATACTTTTTAACCTTTCCCTAAATAAAAAAAAAATAAATGTTCTTAAGAACTAATAAGACTTCTTCGTCATATATTCATGTAATATTGTTTAGCATTATAAAATTAAATAAAGCTTCAGTTATTAGCCACTTCAAGTTATAGCATTTATTATGTTTTATATTTTTTATTGAATTTTCGTACTCTGGATTATCTCGAAGTCTCGTATCTTTCAAGGCTTTTGTGTAAATTCTTGAGAAGATGTTCAACACATTTGTCGTTCGTTTCAAAAGATTTCAACAACTGTTAGGCTATTCAGACCCATATGGTTACCAAATGTGCACTGACCAGGTATACTAGCGAATTACCGAAAGTTTTATGGTACGTAGGCAGGACGAATTGCCGGGGAGGCCCATAATCTTTGACAATAGGAAAGGCAACTGAAAGGAAATTCCAGTGAAACACTCGCGTAGAAAGTGCGACAGATAAATATAATATTAAATTTGTTATGGAAAATAAAACTTCGTTTTAAATTCCTGCAAAAATATCAATTTTTATTAATGCTGAAAACCTTTGAAACTTGCAGAAATAGTGGATTATTACTTTCGAAATTTAGGTTCCGAGAAAATTTTACTTCATTGTTTCAAATTCTATCATTTAAAATAATTTTTACTGGTTTTTGTTCAGTCTCGTTAACTAACAAAATTTTAATAAATATATCTAAATCTAGAAAAAAATTTACAGAAAAATAATTCTTTTGAAAATTTTTTCATACCGATACATGGACAACTAAAAATGACATGAAATTTATTTAAACTTTTTTCCATATCTTTTGTAGTTTACCAGTCCAAGCAAATAAATAAATACTGGTGTCTCCCTTATCCCTGTTAGTGGCGAATCATGGATTCAGGAATGGGAAAAAGAAGAATTCACACCTGAAATCATGGTGCAACGATGAAGTAAATGGAATTAGCGAAAGCATCAAGTTCAATAAGTAATGTGTACATTAATTTATGTAATATTTCAATCTTTCCATAATACACGCCAAGACATGATTTCAACTAAAAACCTCGCCGTTCGCGGTACAGTAACGTGTTGCGCGTCGAAACATAGAGTTAAAATCCGGAACGAAAGTTCATAAACCGACAACAGTTCAATTTGTACGACGTTTTACCACATTGTGTTCGACATAATACAACACATTTATCCTCCGACGGTCATTATAATACGTATATTTATAAATCTGGACATTCAAATCAACATATTCGAAGGAAACAAAATCATCCTTAAACGTGTCACATCCGATCCCATAATTACAATACTCTCTTTCTCTCTCACTCTCTCTCTCGCTTTCTCTCTTGCGCTCGTTCTAACCGATACAAAAAAATAATACGGAACCGCGTTTTTTATTCTCATTATTATTTTATCCGGGGAAATTCTATACCTACAAAATACAATGGCAACCGTGAAACCCGAGGAAAACGGTACTTTATTCATCGAGTTCGCACGGTGAAAGAAAAAAAATAGATCGAACTCGCGTCAAGCGGGTGTGTACCTGCAACGTGTCTGTATGTGTGTGTTTGTTTCGTGTGTGTTTGTTTCATGTGTGTGTGTGTGTGTCATCGGTAGGACAGAAAACGAATTCAGTCGACACAGCTAGCTTCTGTTGGCTTTCTGTTCTTTCTTTTTTGGTTTGGGTTTCGTTTATAGCACATACACATCCATTATACGTAAATTGTTCCGTTAGCTTCGCCTGGTTTCTCTATCCTCGTGTTTTGTTCGTATTAGCAACAGCGGATTATACTACAGGAGCTTGTTCTCGGCCAGATTTCTCGCGGAAAAAAATAATAAATAGACGAACACGCGTTTGATCGCCAATCTGCCGCCGATGCGTCGTTCGTATTCGCGCGCGAATGCGCGCCGGATGCCAAGGACGAACGACTGAGCCCACGCATCATTGGCAGGTTGTGATTCGAATATGGGGAGGCCTGGGATCAATCATCCGGAAACTGACGGTCTCCCCATCGTAACGAATTTCCCTTACATCCTACCGTGAAAAATAATCACACGGGAGGAAGAGATCTACGAAGTGTCAGCTAGAGGGTGCAAACAGGAGAGCTTTGGTTACTCTACTAGAAGCGTTCTTCGATAAACGCAAAATCAGAAAAATGACGCGCACAATATCCTGTTCTCGACACGTTATTTTCCCCATTCTCACCTGTGTTCTCGTCGCGTCATCCCGTTCGCTCGCGATTCTGTGCATTTAAAGGCATCGATTCATCATCGATCGATCGATCAATCAACTGAAACGCGCGCAAACACAGTGTACAACACGTTTTCTCCATCATATCTCTCTTCACCAAACTCCCATACCCCGCACAATTTTCTCGCGATTCGACGGGGGACGATAACGTTCCAATGTCCGGCATGTGTAAACATCGCCTATCCGTTCCTTTCATCGCCGCCTCGAAATAACGGTTTATTTTTTCTCGCTCGCCTTTATCTCCTACATTTACAGTATTATGTACAACTGTTTGGCACCGTAAATTGTCTCTTAATCGAATGATGCCAACGAAGGGTCCAATGTATGAACACGAGATCCACGACGACGCCATCTTGAAAGCCGTGAACACGAGTCGCGTTCGTTCACACACTCCAACAAACCTGTTTGAACCACCTATATCACTCACTCACACGTTCCGTTCCACGGATTCGCGCGCTCTGAACAGGGTGATCGGAACTCGATCATCCCCCAGCGGTCAGCCATATTGTCGCTATCTCGATCAGAACCGGCCCGCTACCGAGAAGTGTCCAAACAGCGTGTCTAGCGTGGTTTGCACGTTGAAACGTTTCGTTTTTGGCATAGTTTAGAAATGTACATATGTATGTCCCGTTTCTCTTTTTCTTCTCGACACCACGTTTACAGTGGAATGTAGTGTGTATGTATGTGTGTTTCTGCCCTACCCCCGTTTGGCTCTCGCGAGCGTCCCTTCTAACGGAAGGACACCCCGTCTAGAACCTACTCGGATGGTGAAGAGAACATTGCCAAGTCGCCTCTGGATTCTCGTTACGGGCGAGAACAATACTTCCGTTACCGCCATCTTTCTCGTCTCATTCGGGGCAAGTTGACAAAGCGCTTCGCCAGTCGATTGTAACCTCGTCCTAAACGCGCGCGTGTTATTACATTAGACTCGCTCCTCTTTTAATAGCTTTCATTCATTATACATATATATATATATATGTATACATACATATATATATATATATATATACATATATACACGCACATATATATATGTATATATATATATACTTCATTTATTTATTTTTTTTGTTTTCTCGTATCCTATGAAATGACTGACTGCCACTGGTATTTGTTCTTTTTTTTATAAATTCCAGACTGCCCAGCAGCCAGACGCACAACAGTTATCACAACTTAAAACTGTTAATACTAATACATTACTCTGTTGTAAATATATTAATATTTAATCATAAATATTATATATATTTATATATTATTATTAATAACAACTGATCCTCATCGCACCACGGATATTTACGGTGGATTTAGTAAAATACCAATACGAAACGTCATTGTATAGTGGTAGGTTTTTCACTTCCTATTTATTCAAGGTTCGCATAGGAAGGGACGGGGGAGTGGGAGGGGGGTGTGAGGGAGGCAAGTAACGGATTAGAAAAGAAAAAGGTGAACGTGAAAGTATACGTATAGCTAAAAACCGGAGGAAACGTTCGTTCGATACTACTTTCCCTGGTAATGTTCCGTGGTTCGGTATGTAACCTCTCTCTCGTCTCACGATTGTTCGTTTCACAGTGTCTCGTTTTTCATTCTTTCACTTCGTCGTTTACTAAAAAAATATGGATCGGAGCCTACATACGATGCTACGTAATTGGTTAGTTAACATTTAAAAATGAGATCTATTTTTCATCCTAGCAACTCGGAACGGGGACATTAAAGGATTAGAGGTTTTACTTTGAGTTCATTAATGAAGTGTCCTTATGCATTGTTCTTTTCTCTTGTTGCCTTGGCTACTTCTTCTTCTGCATTCCTGGAGCAGCTCCCATGCGTTCTTCTCATTGTTGGGTTGAGTGTCGTCATCGGTGATCTTGTACACGTCGTGGGTCGGTTGTGTTTGTTCGACGAGGTGAACATTTTTCGTGCGTTCCTGGCCGTTTCAGACGGACGATTTTCGTGGCCGATTACGTTTGCTGCGCGTGAGAGAGCTGTGCCGCCGGTTTCGCCCGCGATCACGCCGTGCTGCGTCCTCCGTCCGTCTGCACGAGGAACGTTCGGTCACTCAGAAAACTTCCGGTTCCGGTTCGCCCGATGGCGCCGCCTGAAGGGCCAGCTGCATGCTGGACTCTGTGTTACGCCGTTTCATTTTACCCTTGGTCTTCTTCAGCATCGTCGCCTAGGAATGGACAGGGTCACAGGGGGCGGGGGAGCGCACAAACGAGCAATTGAGAAAACAGTCAGTTAACCAGTTAAACCGACTAAACAACAATATTTTCGCAATTCCTTAAACAGCCAGAACTTTAAGGGCCAACAAGAAGATGTATAATTCGTGGAACGAAAAGATGTAGGAACACAGGATCGATTAACATTCGAAGAACGATTTGCTGTGACTCTTTTTGTTTCGATGTGAGTTTAGAACGAGTTTTCAATGTTGAACAGTATTACGATACCAGGTTTGGCCCCATGTAAATTTGGGATTTATTTCGTTGTTTGGTCTTTACTTTCTGCAAAATCTCTGATGAGTGAACCGCGTACTAACTGCATATTCTTTTAAAATTGTTAACTTCTTTAGTACATATTTTCATATATATATATAACAATATTCACTAGAGCCTCATATGTAACAATAGTTACCTGCCATTTAAAATAGAAAATGTAACTGTTATTTGTATTTAATAAATGATCGAAAACTGTAAAAAGTTGCATTTTATCCCGTACGAATGAATGGCCTTAGGACAATTTAATTATGTAGGCATGTGAGACATATTCACGGGGTTATTCTTCTAAACATCAAATGGAATTCTAAAACATCTAACTAACACTTTATGTATTTCACCCTTCACGATGTACAATCAGTTTTTAATGAAATATCGTTTGCTTATACATACCGACAGAATTTACTGACTTTCGACGAATTTTGCTTAATTAGTCAAATATCTGCAGAGTCCTTCGAATGTTAATCACTGAAGCTGAAAAATACTATTTGAAAAAATAGTGCATAACAACTAGATCATGTACAGTGTTGTAAGAAACTACAGGTTTTTAATAAAAAAAACTGAGTATAACTTAGAAATTCAAGAGAATTTACTAAACTTAATTTTTAGTTCAATAATCTTCGAACTGATATATTGTATTTCCGCGTACCCTGTAAAACCGATCTAGAATAAATAAATCAGTGTACAATATAAGTTGTACATAACTTTTTGTATACTACTCACTTTTTAAAATTTTATTTCCATCCTTTGTGAATTAATTTCTTACTCGTTTACCCCACTGGATACAGTATAGTCAAGCGACTCTAATTGAACCTGTAATTTCTCACAGCGCTCCATTACGACAAGCTTGAATTGCGTCGAGCATTACAATTGCCGAGCAACGAACGAATCCCTGGACAATCTCAATAACGACTAATTTAAAGCTATTAACCGAGTCTCAATCAACTTAGAATGTTACTTTTATTAACGTGAAATTTTATGTCAAGAAACAATATCAGAAGTGTAGTTATTGAGTCACTACTGAATCACAGAAGGCACTGCAAACGTAACTACATGAAATTTTCTCTAGACGTTTCAAAAATTCCTTGCGTTGTAATAGAAACTTGAAGTTGTCCAGGAGCTCGTCGATCGCCCCGATACATCCAACAATAGTGGCACAGAGGGGCTACATGCGACGGGAACATCGAATGGACTTTCAACTAATACAGGAAGTACACGTTCTATAGTTCGCATGGCGTGACCGCACCGAAACTCCCCTCGATTGTTGTAGAATCTGGGAGGAACAACAGTCGGGGAATCTAGGCGGAGCACTGGTCGGAAAAAAATAGAACTTGAATCACGAATGAAATTTATCGAACTAGTTGCAAACTGCGGGTTAGGTTTTGGTGGTACACTCGTCCGTGCTCTTGCCCTCCTCCCCGTTAGCGGGTGGAATTGACGGTTCGGTATTCCGACGCTTGATCTTATTTTTCTTCAACATGGTCGCCTGGAGTGAACAAAGGAACAAGGAGATATTAGTCAGAGAGAGAGAGAAAGAGAGAGAGAGTGCGATCAGGGGAGGATTGCATGCGCTGCCGGACACCAGCAGTTTTTGGGTTTCTAGCACTTTTACGGAGACTGCGTAAGAGCGTCATGATTAAGTAAAAGAGTTTAGCGGCTATTACATACAGATGCTCCGGCAGAGAGTCAACGTGCGACAAATATGTAGATAGCCCCATCATTCTGCATGAAATCGAACAGCATGAGTGAATATCGACAGACAACGGTCCGAGGGTATCGGGTGCCGCAAATTTGATTACATGATTGTTAACCCTTTGCACTTTGGACATCGGTTACGCAGAGACTGTTCCCGACTGAGCGGTATAATCGAGCAGCGTGTGAATCTACAGTACCGGACAAAATTATTCGTACACCCTTTAACGCGGGACAACTTTTTTAAAATTGGTCCAAATGACTTGAGTTCTTTGGTGAAGTTAGGGACATTAGTTTACTAAATGATGTGTAAAAAAAATTGAAAAAGTTGCAATTGGTTGGAATCGCGAAAGAAATAGTAATGGATGTTTTTTACGACTTTTTAATCCGAGGCTATGTTTATGTGAAACACATGAGTGAAAGTTTAGAGATTGCAAGCAGCCCGACGCTGTGGTGCATTTAGATTTAGAATAAGGACATTGTTCCTGGAGGATCTGGCCACGGAGTGGGGAGGCAGCGATGCCTTTTGTTATGAGAGCACTTACCCCAGAACCCGGAGGAAGCATAGTTCTTTTAGAAATCAAAAACCTTGAGCTAATATGTCTAACACGTAAGTAGGTTTGCAAATAAAAAATTATCTCAAAATCTATTTTTAATGAACATTTGTTGTAAATTAACTAATAAATTTTTATTCAAAACAGGTTTTCATATAATTTGTTATTTGCAAACCTACTTAGAATTACAATTCCACGTAAACTTCACTTAATGCCTAAGGTGGCTGAGTAACTTTGTGACCCACTGTACGTGTTAAATGAAACTAAAAATATAGAATTTCGTAATTAATATTTTTTCGCGGAAATTTGTTTTAAGAGCTCTGTATTCCCTCCATATGGACACGTTACCAGCGTCATATTAAGGGGGAGGGGCTATAGCCCCGGGCCCCACTTTCAAGAGGGGCCTCGATCTAAACCTTCCGTTTATATAAAAAAATAATTCAATGAAATTTTGTTTACTGTTTCCCTTTTAAAACAATTAGAAATTGTATTAAATGTAGAAATAAATCGTATCAAAGTTGTTAAAATATAACGCAGAAACAGCTTACGAATACTTTCAGATCATCGAGGTAGTTGACGCATTCCACGATCTCTGTAACTTGATAAAAAGAAATTAAATGCTCAGATATGTAATGTTACTTATCGTATGAATATTAAGAAACTTTTATTTCATTTACTGTTAGAACTGAATAGTTTGTATATTGATTATTCAATTGTAAACATTTGTTAAGTCAAAGAGCCAGTCATATTGACACAGAAAATTTGTAGTTACTGTAATTTTAAGTTATTATTGTTAACAACAATCGTATACCAACATTTGATAGTAAATGTTGAAAATCATTCATTAGGGATATGATTTTTTCAAAGATCGCGAAGTCTCGTAATATTCAAAAACTTTTCTTGCTATGACTCAATATTAAAATCAGTCAGATAATCAATATATTAAAAATCTTAACATTTGATGAAACAAAAAAGTTTCACTATATGTACCTACTGCTTATTCATGATCTAGCTGAAATCGCTTTTTTAAATGAATTATTATATGTCATAAACAGTATTTCTTAGTAAAATAAAATTGACGAGTCTAAAAATAAATCATGGAGTGAAGAATAAGTCAGCCGACTAATGGTTTGTAGTAATCTACTCTGAAATCGAGTAGGAATTCTTTCCGTACCTAAAAACACGGTCATCATGGGGATTTACAATACCAACGTAAGTAAAAGTGAAAGTCGATCACTATGCAGGAAAGTTGCAGTGCAAAGGGTTCATTGGAAAACACAAAGTAGATGCTAGAAAACGGGGTAAAGGTGAAAGAAGTTCAGTGCCAAAAAATGTTAGGAGTAGTTTACTCTTACGGTGCGTTACACCCACTCTGTTCTCTATTTCAATGGAATTATGGGGTTGTTACGGATGTCTGTACCAAGATTACCGTCAACGCTGATTTTAAAACTACGATATCCCCTGCGCTCTGGATCCATGGCTCTCCGTCCACTTGTACTGGTATATCAGACTGCAAATGAATCTTTATATGTCCTCCCTGCGAGAGGTACCAAATTAAGTTAGTATATTTTAATTAGTTGTCACAATAGTAGCCACTGATTTGTGGAAATAAGTCTATATTAAAATTTTTACCTTAGTTAACTAATAAGTCGTTTAATTTATGATCGTACAATAAAAAATTGAGTTTAACATTTTTGAACAAGAAATTACTACTCCTTGTTTGATACACTAAGTGACCTATAAACGATCAATAAATATATGCGAATATTTCGATTGTAGTTGAGAGTAGGTTTCAAGGCTCAAATGACGTTGATTTGCAAGGCTTCAAATACGTTTGATTTTACAAGGTCAATATTTCATAATTTGTACCATAATTTCGAGTTATAAGTTTGTACACTATGAGGAATTAAGAAAAAGAAGCAAAGGAAGAATTAATATTACTGCTGAAACTTCTGAAATTTAATAGCTTATGAGCTACTTTTTACTTTACACGAGTCAATTGTTAACCTTGCATTTAAATAAGAAATACAATTTTGTACTTAACAGATGTTTATTAATGGTAGAAAACGTAGTACTGAGCTAAGAAGGTTTTGTTCATTAGGGACATATGGGCAATCTAGTATATTATTAGTAATCAAATTGTATTTAATTTTTCTCGAATCAAGATCAATTAATTTAGCAAAGATATATATATATATATATTATATTATCATTTTAGCATGGATATAGTACAAGAACCTTTGAAATCATCGTTAAAACAGAGATCTCACCTGGGCTATCCTCATCCCTCCTCGAATACTAGACTGAATTTGTCCTAGATGCAGCACACCCGTGACTCCAACCACTTCCAGGATCCCATCCCAATGGTTTGGTGTATAAAACTGATCTACCTTGGTGTCTGGTCCCCAGGGATTCGCCCCAGAGCCCCAACTATATAATAAAAAGAAATCAAGATGCAAACATTTAATCATTAGATTATTAGATTTGAAGAAAAGTTCAGTGATTTTTTTACTTATACTCTAATAAAAAAAACAGAAAAATACGTGAGGAGTACTGACATCCATTCTAATGAAAATGGAATATGGTCATAAAGAATAATAGGCATTACACCCCTGATTATTAGAATAATAAACATATTTTACTAAAAATCAAATGCCGGACACAAAAACGACCAAATATTCTCTCAAATTTGTTATGATCATAAAATTTATAAACTGTTGAGTAATACCTTAAAATATTCAGAATAATAATCCCTTCGACTTGAGGCAACTCGACGAGTCTTCCATCCACCTCCAATCGGATTTTCGTGTGTAAATCTTTGCAAGCTGTTTTTTTTACCATCTGCCGTAGAGCCATCGTCACGTACATTCCCTTGTTGCGAAATCTGCTTCTGAATTTATCCGGATTTTCTTCCCTGGCTTTGTGGAAGGCCAAACACAGCTCGGCATCGACACCGATTCCGAAGTAGTTGTTCATTACGTATATTTGTGTGTTGTCTTCGTTGGTCGCGCCGGCCCCTGTAACATTCGGATGCAATATTTATTTACCCAAAGCTGTTAGTTACATAATGTCTTGTAAAATATTTCTTGTCCAGAATATTGTATTAATATATTTCATGTATAGAAAAATTTTAGAAAAATAATGTATAAAACTTTTGTACAGGAAAAATTTTAGAAAATAATCAAAATTAAATTCATCTTATTTTAAAATGAAATTAATCTTTTGTAAGCATTAAATAAAGAAATCTTTAGTTAATTAATGTTAAACGAGTTTATTTAATAAACACTGTGGTGTAGTAAATGAATAATATATTTTTTCGTGATTCTTCTTATAGAACTAAATACGGATGTGCCTAGAAATATTAATTTTATATCGTACACTTTGTAAAACATATTTAAAACTGGAATTCAATCATTTTTATCTTGTTCATACAGTAGACTCCTGTTAACCGGCTCCTGTGGGTCCGGACCTCTGGCCGGATAAACAATTGGCCGGCTAATCCGACAACATGTATCACTTATTATTTCTAACTATTATACTTCACTAATTGTTTCAAAAGAACTGATTCTAATTTAACAAACCTCCTGGGTTGTTGCTCAACTGCTTGTCTTCCTTCTCCTCTGTATGAAAAACGACTGTCCACCTGTCCAGCTGTGACTCCTCCGCGTCGATCACATCTCGTAGCAGATTCAAGGGATCTTCGTCGCCGGTGTAACCGGAACCCCAGCAAAGCACACGCGCGAGATCGTTTCCGGTACCAAGTGGAACAATGGCGCAGGCAGGCGAGGAACACTCGCTGTCCTGACCGACATTGTCTAAACACTGCAGCACCCATCCTATTGTTCCATCCCCGCCACAAACCAAGATTTTGTAGTCCCTTATGTGACGGAAAACGTAGAGTCTGAAATGAAAATGATTAACAACGATGTAATTACACGTGTTATTGTAATATTTTGTGTACTATGTATATCATTTTGACCGAAATATAGCACCAATTTAGTGACATTATTTTACTGTCACAATTAAGAGTCGAAAAAGAATTTTGTACGTACCCAGGAAGTGGTCCGCCATTGTCCAGATCGAACACTTGATACGGATTCAAAAGTTTACGAAAACTGGAGATTAACTGAAGCCCCTGGCAGCCCCCCGATTTCACGTTGACGAAAACTAGCAAAGGTTGCACGTCTGATGGAACCATGGTCGGTTCGATACTCGGCAGCGGCATGACTATATAACAACGAAAATATGGAATTTATTATAGAATCGTATACCGATAACGTCGATATCAATTCACTCGTTCAAAATTACCTAAAAGATGTTTATCCTCGTATTTTGATTCCTGTAAGGTGTACAACGCCCTAACTGCCTTATTTGCATCCTCGTAGATAATTACCATCGAGCCGTACTCGTAATATATTGTACCGATTGAGGAGAATTTGTTTTCTAAGAAAATTACATATATAAATTATTATTGCACGCAATAACAAACGTAGTTATTATTTTCTCACGAGTGTATGTTCCCTTTTAAAAGCCTTGGTATTATATACCTTTGCCTAAGAGTTCAGTCAATATATTCTCGTAGATTCTTTCGGGTTGATTCACTGGTAGGTTTCCCACAAATAAAGCTAAATTAGGTCCATGAGGATCTTGCTTTAGCTGCAGATAAAATCGCATCAACTCCATCTGCCTGATCGAATCTTTGCCCAGTTGCTTCACAATCTCCCATGGCTTCTCCTCACGGGTCAGAACTTTTTCGGTGACTAGTCAAATGCAAAGAAACGTGTATAATTGTGTGTATTTTATTATAAACAAAGTTCGATATAAATAAATATATTCCTAATAATGTTTACAATCTGACTGCGATTTTCATACATCTAAAGGAAATGTTGTGTCTACAGTAGCTAATCGCAGAATTCTACAACTTTATTGTTCGAAATCTTTCAAACTGTAATATAATTTTAACTCGTTTCTCAAGTTTATACATATTCACTTAAAAAATATCAAGTAATGCGCATGTAAATTGTTTTTAGCCCATCACCATTCTCTTATACAATTTTTAATTATACTACAGTTCGGAAAGTTTCGTAGTTCATTTGTATTTTTCTGTATTATTCAATTTGCATTTGTGTTTTATTAACACTACGACGACCGCCTAGTTTCGTTAGTAACTTTCACGAGTGGCCGCGTTTGTTAAGAATTAACAAAATATAGTTTTTTACAATATATACAATGTAAAAATATTCCATAACTTTGAATATATGATAACTATACATATTTAATCATTTTTTTGAAATGGGAAGTTGCAAAACAGTCCCCTAAACGTAAAGGGTCATACAAAAATTCACACATCAAATATGTATAAATATGAACGACTGTTTTATACGACGATTCTGAACGCTTCGGAGATTCCTGTTCTCTTACATTATTTATTTTCAAAGTAACGCACAAAAATAGTTTCCAAACAGCAACACCTAACAGTGAAAAGCTAATATTAGAATGATGCTAAAGTGACATAAAAAAAAAGGGACGCCAGTGTAGCGTCATCGGCCACTAGCAGTTGGCACTCACATGACGCCTCTGTGACGTCATTGTATCGTCGTAGCGTTAAAAAATTCAAATTAACACATTAGCTACTAGAGCTGATTTTACTTTTCGTTCCCCATGTGCTAACATATTAAGCCATAGTACGCCAACAAAAGTTCATCTTCATTACGCTTTTCTTCAATCAAATTAAAAGAAACCCTAAAATCATCTGACATTAGTGGAAAACAAACATTTATGCCGTGTCATATAACCGTAAACACAACTTATTTAATATTGTAATTATCAAATCAACAAAACACTAAAAAATAGGGTGTGACACACCGGCGTGTCACGCAGCACCGTAGATCCAACAACAAAGTTGGGCATAATTTAATTCAAGCAATACATAGTGGAAAAGCAGCAGTAAAGCAGCTTAGGTAAGAGCGTCATCCTGACCTTTGAACAGTTACTGAAATTAAATAATTGTTTGCCAAGTGTCTACTCATTCGAGAAGAAATAAAAATTGGAAATTTCACGTTTAATTAATTGAAAACTGGCGAAATACTTCTTTTTTATCTTTTATGTGTTATTCGAAACTTTCTATCTAGATAATGAATTTGTCTACCTCTGCTTGACAGGGTGTGACTCAGACCTGCCGGCGAGTCACACGGCAGCCAACGTGTAAACAAACGAAATACTTTTTTGAATAACTTTTCAATATTCAAAAGGCAAACTCACCACCTCGATCCAGAAGGATCTCGCTACATCTGTAATCCTCCGATTTGAAATTCTCTAAACCGAACTTCTGAAGCGCTTCTTCGATTAAGTCCGCAACCGTGGTGGTTTCGGCGACAGGTACTATGCAGAATGAGTCTGATACCTGTAGCTTGCCTGGATAGACACGCACTTCGCCAGTCTCGCTATCCCTGCAATCGAGAGGTATACAATTCTACGACGTACACGTTAAATACTTGCAGGGAGAAATTCGTCGCTGGCACTTACTTAAATCGTAAGAAGACAGCCGGACGTTTGCCCTCTTTGCGACTCAAGTTTAGAACCGGCGTAGGATCGCATAATTCGGTCTCATCCGTGGCATACAGGTCGGTGAGGTAAAAGTTGCCTGAATCGAACAAAAATAGGGATAAATGTACGTCGATGAAATTGTGATTCATATCAAGATCGAGGAAGAGGAACTGCATAGTTCAAAAATGTGTTGGAATTTGTAAAACATATTGATCTCGGTGTTGTAAAAGTACTTCAAAATTTAGTAGGAAATATTTTACATATGTAGATACAGGGTGAGTCAATAAGAATTACTATCTAAAATAAATTTAAATAACCTATTAATTGTATCAGAAAATGTTTCAATGAATAATGTAGCATTTTAAGGGATGCATCGAATGGATACATTTTTTTTTTTTTGAGATATTAAGGTGAACTTGAGTTGTTTCAAGGTCAATGCACCTTTTTTTTAGTACCACGTTACTGCGCGAAAATCTGCGATTTTCAATATCTATATAACTAACATATATCTAAGCAATGTATTCATTAAATTTTCATTACAATCTCAAATAAAAAAGTCGCAAAAACCGACTTACTATTTTTTTCGCGATTCCGACCAATTGCAACTTTTTCAACATTTTGTTAACACATCATTTAGTACACTAATCCTTCTAACATCACAAATGAACTCAAGTCACTTGGTCCAATTTTGAAAGAGGTGCTCTGTTATGAAGTGTGTACGAATACTTTTTGAACCAACTGTACATATCTACCATGTAAATCGAGGGATGAGTGTACGTGACATGAAAGTTACACCAGCTGGTACAGGGATAAACAGCGATTCTGTTTATACGTACTAGGATCTTTCGTAATATGAAATGCATGAAGCGCCGCGGTCAGGACCTGTTCCGTGGTTGCTTGCCGTGGCACCGAGATCACGCGAAATATCCGTCGTCTGAGGGAGTTGTTGCCGTCGTAGACCTTGATCATCTCTGCGGAAACGGAAGGAGATCGGTAAAAGGGACAGACCACGGGGGGTCAGCCACATGAACCATATTGAAATACCTTCGTCACCTCTATCTTTATCTTCTTTCTCCTTCGGGGAACGAGGATCGCGGGTGTTTCTTCCGATATGCTTCGTGCTGCAAAAACGTAAAACCGTACATCGATCTCTGTAACGACTTTTTTGTCACTGTTTCTCTGATCGCAATCGCTCCCTAGGGCACGGAACAACACACCAGATAGAAAGAAACTTAGATGTAACTGTGGATCGTCTTGTTCCCTCAACTACCGTTAAAAAGAGGATGCAAATATATTAATACGCTTGGCAACCATTACTCAGATAACATTAATGGTGTATGTATGGTAAGAAAGCATCTATCAGTAGCTAAGACACTTTCCGGTCAATTGTCCGTTTTTTTTTTTACGGGATCACTGGATCACGAGCGTAATGCGAATACACAGATGTATCTGACCTGGACCTTTAATCGGTGGTACTATGGATACTGCTATTGTTGAAGCGCTAACGTACTGAACTGAAGGGATTAATATCGAGTAGCTTGGGCAAGGAATCGATGAATGTTACGGGTGAATTTTTCTGAATGTTTAGTGCATAGTTTTAATATTTTATATCTGCAAATTATATGTTCAAAACAAGTAGTCTTAGAAAATGAAAATAGAGATCGTTTATGCTCTCGTAAAATTAATAAAAAAGAAAGTGACTCCTATTGAATACAAAGTGTTTAAATGAAACAGGTAATCCAGAAGGGATTTTGCATTTTACATAATCTCGTTCACTGTTTTATAAACCTAACAACTTGCAGAATTATTACAACATGCTGTCGTAGTTGAAGTAGTTTGAGTATCCCGATGACAAATACACTAATTGTTCAGTCAAATACGATCATCGGGAACGTAACCAGAAGGTTTCAGTTATATTTTATTGCAGACTTTCCTATGTATGAGATAATATGTTAAATATCAAAATAATTTTGAATTAATTTTATAAATATCAAACCTATATAAATCTTATTAATACTTTATCACTTAAACAACAATACTATGTGTGCACATATCTTTTTGATTGATCCAGCATAGCTTGTTTCTATGCACTAAACATTTTAAATATTCTATAGTGTGCTATAATAATACAAGCATTGCCTAAAAAATCTCGGTCTTCCTAACCTTGGAAATCTCTAAAATATTAGTTTCCTTGCGTTTAACTCATCAAACAACTAGATGGGTCAAAAGAATCGATTTTTAAAAAATATTCGAACTCGATAGTACTACCTTTAAACTACATTCTTTGGAAATTTTATTTAAAAATTCTTAAAATTAACGAAGTTATATACCTAGTGGAACGGTCAGTGGAAGGCAGACGTTGTTTTTAAAAAACCGTCGTATAGAAACACTTACCACGCCGTCTACTTCGAATTTTTTAATAAAAATTTCACATTTTATGAACAAAGGAATACTCTTTGAAAATACATAATATTCCTTTAATAAACAAATTTTTCATCGAAAAGAATTTTTGAAATCCATTCTATTTCTTCCTCTTATAGGTGTACGTAGCCACTTAAAATTTCAAAATGGCACCTCTGAACATGTCCGTGTGTCAACCGCTTCAAACCTCCAAATTCTTTACTGATCTGAATAAAATGTTTCGAGATTTTCCAGGCAATATTGTTCAATGATCGTGTCATATAAGAGATGCTAATGAGAAACAGAAAAAAAGAAACAATAGAACAGGGGCACAGGTGTTGCATTTTACTGGCGCTACAAACGCAATCCTTTTTTTCCAAAACTTCGAAAGATAAGTGACACCTCTTACCATCGGGCACGATGGGTTTGTAGAACACACATGATAGAGGAGAGATTTATTCAGTAGCATTCTTGCGCTTCGTTCGCACTGGCATAGTGGTGTGTGATAAGCGTCACGGAACTCGGATAGCATCCAGCGGGCTGAAGTGTGACAGTACATGCACCGAAGCAACACATATAAACACATGCTAGAACGTAAATGTTAACAAAGTAACAAACATTCATAAAAGACGGTAAACAACATGACGCGGGACACGGTACATATAATCAGATTCGAGGAATCGTACGGAATAGATTCTCTACGCTCGCTGAAAATGTAGTAAACTCATCGTTATTACGTTCCATTTACGTATTTTCGTCACCTGTCGCCGCGATACGGGATTTCTGTAAGTGCACAACACATTGACTGTTGCGGAACATGGAACACAACCGTGGAAACGAAGTTGAGAAATAGAATTGAGATATTAAATGTACCAATAAGTGATCCACTACTTCAGAGTATCGTAATTTGGGGTAACTGTCCCAAAGTCAGAAAATGATTATTTTCGATTTTGTTGCCCTTTTGTAGATATTTTTAGGTGAAATACCTTTTTACGTAATAATCAACTTCATTGAACAATTTACAGAGCTGCAAAATTGAAAATGTTCATTTTCTGACTGGGGGCAAAGTTACCTTGACTGTGAGTCAATGTGACCCCAACTCACGATAACATATGTATGTATACACTACCGTTTAGAAGTATTTGCCCACCCATATTTGTTTTACCATAGTCAAAAGTGTAACATATTTGAAAAAATTTAGTTATCCTGATAATAAGAGACCTAACAGAAGCGACAGTCAGGATCTTTTGTTGAAGAATCGGAAAATAAAATTTGTCGTGGATAATACCTTTAGCCATAAGTATATGTTGTGTGGATACTACCTTTAAGGCAAGACGTATTCAACATAGCATTAAGGGAATAATCTTAAATATAAGAGTTGAGGGTGTTATATATCATTTGTGTATCATTATATTTCGCGCAATACTAAAATATTATGCAAAAGTAAAACTAGGAAGAGAGACTTTCATTTTGCTAACTAAGAGTAACAAAATTTAACCATTTGTTCGATGAGAGAGCAAATAGTGTATGCATATGAGCGGTAACGTATGTGCTGGATGAAAATATAGGGAGTTGAAGACCACAGAACATTATGATTTAAGGGTCATATGCCTTGGAGTGGATTACTTGTTGGTGCAATTAATATTAAGGGGAATAATGAGTGTATCAGTTTGTTTCTTGTCGAATCAAGAATGTATGATATCTTAACGACCTTAACGCAGATTACAAACTCGAAATGGGTATTTTAAACTTAACCCTATTGTATTCGGAAACTCATTAACAGAGTTTTTGATACAGATTATCAATCAGGAATCTATCGATTACCTTTTGAATAAGGATTAAAATTTTCAGATCATCTAATTGTTGTAAATTTGTAATTTTTAACTAGTAGATTTCTGGGTGATAATCGTTAGTATTACGAAGCAATAATTATTTTAATAAATTTAAAATTTAAATTTTTATGTAACTAAATTTATTAACAAATTAAGTAATATACAAATAAACTATTAGTTTTAAGAATAATAAAGTTACTGAAAATTCGTATTTATTAAGTTTAATAGATAATGTCTGAAATCGTACAATACGTAGATTAACGACATAAATAGGAAAAATATGAAAGTTATTTATGATTTAAAAGTACACAGGGTGTCTCGTTATTCGCTGGTTTCTTTAGAGAAAAGTGTTTCAGAAGGTAAAAATAAAAAAAAAAGTTTGTTTTACATGTCCAATCACCTCTTTTAAGAATAAGCCTTATTTAATAATCTAGAAGAATAACCTCTCTTAATAATCTAATCAGTACTGGACACGATAATTTGTATACTAAAGTACCTATCAAACAAGGATTGGTAAATAAATTGTAAACAATCTCATTGTCGAGCTTGGAATATTCGATAACTGTTTAATATTCGAATAAACAATTCGAACAAATCGAAGAAATAATGATTTCTCAGGCCTAAGAAAGTATGTATAAATTCACTCTCTCTTAGGTCGACGAAAACTAAATGATCGCTATTCATATTTGTTGTATTTCAATTCTTTGAATTCCAATGTTCGTCACCGTATAAAATCGTTCAAAGAAATTCTAAGTATTTTACAGTTACAACAGAGACAAGAGTAATCTTAACAAAGTTTAAACGGCCATTTATTTCGCACTAACCTAATAATCTAATATCTTCAAAGAAACAATGAATGTTCGTTAAATAACCATTAGAGTATTGATTATACAATAAATTCCCTCCCTATAAATCGTCGCATCGACCTGATTATGATTGCATCGCCATCCACACTGCATCATGAGACTGGTTTACAAGTAGGCGGCTTGGTTTCAATCCTGTTAGCAGCGAGAGTGAAGAGTATGAGGGTTGATAAAAATAAGTATTGAGAATTTTATTTCCTTTTCAAAACTCGCTTAGACGCGTATCGTCCTTGGCGGTGAGGATACAGTGAGTTTTTACAGTGTATCTTGATTTTACAGGTCCAGCCAAACAGAGGTATTGGACCGTCTGCAGCATTTCCAAAATTTTCAAAAATAGTATAAAGAAAAATTGGTTGAAAAGGGGATGAATCGTGTAGAACTAATAACTACTTCAGGTTTGTCTGAGCCATAAAATTGTGTGTAAAATTGAAAAGAGTAGTCATAAAAAATCACCACATGTCGATAGACGTATAATTGATATAACTGCAAAGGAAGCTTTTTGTTTATGGTCCCCGCTGATTTTACTATCTCTACGAAGTTAGTCCACTATGAAATTAAAACGGGGAAGAGTCAGTAATTTTAACATAATTAATTCAAATTATGGTTCCGTTGTACATGGGAAAAAGATATAATTTTCTGAAAGAAGAATCTTGTATGTATGTAGCATTATTTTTTTAAACAACGTACACAAAAACAGACTCGTTGAAGTATTCCTTTAATTATTATTATTGTTTTGGGATTGTCAAATAATTTTATATTCGATAATTTAGGACTGGCTAAAAAAAGTGTCTCCTTGTTAGTAAATCACCCTGTATGGAAATCGTGAGTCATGAATGATCTATGTGTCTGGGAATCTACTATTTATGTAACAAACCAGTAAAAATGAAAAATCTGTTCTCAATGCTATTAATCTTTCCCAAATTGTTTTTTTTTCCTTTCCTAAATTAATCTCACTTCCTGCATGCAACGTTGAATTTCACCGATTTGTTAAATTTTATTT